TAAAAATATCAGTCAAATCTGTGACATTGATTGAGCAAGGTTATGCTGAAGCTGACCGTGGCTTATGTGCAAAGCCTTCTAGGCGAGTCATTATTTTATAACGATCTTTTCTCCTAAGATGTCTTTACGAATAAAGAAAAGAAAAAAGAGAGAAGTTACTATTAACAGAAGTTAAATTGTGAATATTTCTCTAAGATACCCAAAGTGAGAAAAATGATTAATAACACGAGTCAATATTAATTCACTAGCTCCAATATAGTGAAAATCATTGCTAGTAAGAAAATATATTAGATTAGCGCGTGAGACCTCATTAGCTTTTCAATAGCATTACTTTCTCTTCCCATGCTAATCTCTTTTATGATCTATATGTCATAAATTCTTGGTCTTTCATATTGTATAGAAGAAACAAGTAAGCATATCGTTTGTCTTTGATCTATTTATCTTTCTTCTTTGTCTTTTTTTTACTGATATTATACCGTATTTATTTTTTATTTTCTCTTCCTTCCTGTTATCATGCTTTTGTAAGAGTCAATAGACGTCATAGAATAAAGCTTATTCCAAAGAAAAACAATCGTTTCATCATCTTTTCGCGTAGAAATGCCTCGTAAGTGCGATAGTATGAGTATGGGAGCAATGTCCTGACCGATTTTGGGCTTGCTCAGGGATATTATCATATAGTTGGTAAAAATCAATTCTAACTAGCGAATCATTAAGAATAACTTGAGACAAGCTACTACTACTCCAACACAAGTGTACGTCAAATTGGTCTTTATTTTATTTATTTTTATTATTTTAGTTTGCAAAGAATATATCTAGAAATCGAGAGGAACATATGTTTATAAATACTAAGTGTCTCAAAGTGTTTGCACACTTTTTATATTCCATATCTCTCAGCATAGATAAATAATAAAAATCTTGAATTTTTTTCAAAAGGTACACCATGAAAAGCTCTACGATTTACATAAAACCACTTAATTTATAATTTCACTTTTTGTTTTCAAAATGAACAATTCTATGTGACCAAATTTCAAAGATCTTCGGATTTCATTTCTTTTTCTTAAATAACAACACTTCTACATTTGTGATTTGTTATTATGTAGAAGATATATGTCTCGAACGAGTAATATCGGCTTGAATAGGGAAATATAATTGGAACGCGTATCGATTTGTCTAAACTCGTTGATCGATTATGGCTTGCGATATGACTCATTAATTGAGAAAATAAGAAAATGAATTTGCCGTGTATCCACAAGTGATCTTCAAAACGTCAAAATTTGGTCGCATATAATTGTCTACTTTGAAAACAAGAAGTGCAACTATAAATTAAGTGATCTGATGTAAATTGTAGAGCTTTTCCCCTGCATCTTGTGCAATATTTTGATTTTTCAATACAGTGTATGAACTAATTGAAAATTGATATGCTAAGCACGGCCATTGAATCTACCGTGCACGTTAAAATAGTGGACAGTAGCACAATATCTAGGTGTTTCATTTTGAGTATAGGAAAAAATCATCGGAACATGTTAATGGAGATTTGTTCCGGCATTCTTTATAGAGTTTTTCACGGCGCATCTTTTAAAAAAGATTCAAGAGTTTTATCATTTATATACGATGAGATATATGGAAAATGAAAACGATTGCAAACATTTTGGGACACTCGGTATATTTTTAGATAGCTTTTAATCGCTTATGATGACAAGTATATTTTGGAGGATGTGTGGGTGTGGATGTATTGATGTAGGATGTATATGTATGAGAGTAGATAGATGGGTGCGGATGTGGGGTGTATGTGTGTACATCAAAAGGCTACCCACTTTCCACCCACTTTCCACCCACACCAACACTCATCCACACCCATACTCTTATGTTATACGAAGTATATTCTTCTATAAAACCAGGTTGAATATGTTATAATCATCTGTGTTTCATGTGAGTTTATTAATGCAGTGCTTTGCCGACCAAGTGTTCTTTCGGCAATTGCTGTGAGTGTGGGTAGTCTTTTAATTCACAGCCACACGCCACACCCACTTATACCTCACTCTTTGGTGACCAACTGCTTCTGGACAAAAATATGTCAACCAACGAGATCGGTACCTGAATATTAATTTTCACGATAGTAAAAAATATGTGATTTATTCTTTTAACCATAAAACGATTACCATGACATAGACTATTGTTTTGTGTGATATGTCAAAAAAGATCAAAGCTAATCATATGTGTATTTGATAAATTATTTCATTGAATCGACATTTTGACTTTCTTGAGTTCAAGCTAATTATTGTGCTTTCTGTATTTCTTCATTTAAGATTACCTAAAATAATAAAGATACTAAGCAGAAAGTCTGAGAATTTTTTCCTTCTTTGTCGTAATTCCCCTTTTACACTGCATGTCAATGATACACTACCATCTACTATTGCTCATCATGTTACAGATTTTATTGAACAGCTGCCAAAAATTGTCACGAATATTGGTTGTATAATAAAGAAACAAGGAAGAATTACACATGTCATGTACGAATTTTGAAACGGAAAAGAACACAATCTTTGCGAGTTTTATTCATCTAGTCTCTATGGACGATGTTCTCTAAGTTTTCAGTAGACACAACCTTCTTATGGTTACGCAACAAATCGAATAATCGAGTTCTGACTATGTTTGAATTTCTTAAACCTTCATTATGAACAGATATTTCAGAGATTTTGCTGAAAAACCAATCCTCTAAATTTCGATTTCGAAATTCCAATTGTCGATTTTTCGTTTCGTCTTGCAGAGTTCAAAAAATTCATTTTGATGAATCGATGCAAATTGAACAGTTCCAGCATCATTTTTCATTCTTTTTCTTCAGTTCTTAACAATAGAATTTATTCTCAGTATTTCCATATGTTAGTTATTTCTTTTCCCGTTTCCGTAATTTTTTATTCCCTGACGTCATTTCATATCTTCTTTTTTGTTATATCCATATTTTATTCTCCTTCTTCATGCTTTGTATTTCATGTTAATTGTAAATAACTGCATTGAAATATTTGTCTCATGCGACTTAGTGGATTGTTTCTCCTCCTATATAGTTAACGAGATATTGACTTAATTGATGAGTATAAAGATATCATTATTTTCGTTGAAACTATTGAAATTCTTTATCTCAAATAAAACGATCGAGTGTTATTTGGAATGAATTCCATATCAAGAAAAGATAATTATTAGTCAGTTCTAGGTAAATATAATATTAGCTTTACGAGGGAGCCACCTCAACTGGTTTCGAGCTTTCTGTTTCATTTTTTGACCATAGGTAAGCCTCAGTGAGACTACGAAAATTTTAGAAGCATTCGTGCTTATGGCATTTCGTTCGTGAGCTATGATTAGGAATATGTCATGAAAAAAGGGATTTTTTCATTTTTGAAAAGTATTTTTTGTCACCTAAATAGTTTTAGATTAGTATGTATACAGGTAACCCTAACGATGGCTTGTTCTCCACCTAGAAAGAGAAAAAGAAGAAAAGGGTGTAGATATGGGTGTGGATATGGATCTGCTGGGTGTGGGTGTATGGGGTAAGAGTAGATACCCTTCTTCATATGCTCCACACAAACACTCACACACATACCCGACAGATCGAGTCGCGGTTTGGAGCAGGTCACAATATGAACCGGATCTCGATGAACCGATTATCGGTAAGAAACGGTTGCAAGTGGAACGGTTAGCAATTATATCGGTTACCGTCACTGTTACATCCCGAATTCGTTGTACTAAACTTACACAATTTCAGCTGAAATCTACGGGTCACGAGTTAGAGACCTTCCTCTGTAAGATCATTCGGATCGGCAAAGACAAATGGTTTACTATTCCAACGAAATCATCTATTGCTGTAACGCTTTTGATGATAGCGATTTCGATAGAGATGTTGAATGGTTTGTTGACTATTAGACCATGTAATAAAACGAAATTGTGGCGTGCGAATATTTTCTGATCACATATTTGTATAGATATCGCCAATGTTAGACCATATATTACTCTAGGTACTTATGCGTCTGCTACCAAATATAATTCCACGGATTATCCCAACTGATCCCACGTCTTCATCCATATAGGGCTTGAAACAGGTTATTATTGAGCCGGATGATAGGAGAAAACAGTGTTAATCCGTCCATCCTATAGGACATATGCATGTTACATTTTGACTAAAACAGTGAAACCGACTGAAACATTCAACATAGAATCTACATACTAAACTAGCGGATACTGAAGTTACTATTGTCTCATTATAATCTAGACTAAACCAATCTGGTTGACATCTGCGCACTGTCTAAATTGAAAGCATCCGCTGGGTTAGTATGATTCGTGACCCAAACAATTGTTTAACAATACAATGGACTGTTGATATATCTATTTGGAGCTTGTACAATCAAACTGGATTGATTTCGTATAAGCGAATCATAAGGAAATCGACAAGTATTCAATGAACAAAAAATCTCTCAAATATCAAATTTGACCACCATGTTGTTTAGATAATGATGTGAGTGAGAGTAAAGGGGTGAGTATTTTCTCTTTAACTACATCCAACACATCCATAACCACGATTACACTCACACAATGTTCTTCCATCTCACCTGCTTGTCACTCAATCTTAATTGATTTCACCCAGTTCTATATATTTTTGAGATTTTGGGCAGCCCTCACTATACTTTAAAGTTAACAAATAGGCGACAAATTAAGCTTCAAATAAAATGATAAAAGTACGTGTGTGCCAACGCTTTCCAAATATCATTTTACTGTCTAATCCCTCTTTACTTTATTTCTGTTTCTCTAAGAAGAAAATATATCGCAATAAAAACATACTGGCTGGTGTTCGTGCTATGAAAGTTAATTTTTTTGCTTCGTTATTCACGTTTTTGACAGTGTGTGCCTTCGTTAGTGCCATCAACAAAGACGATATTATTGTTCAACACAATTTTGATGGAACCGTCGAACAAGCAAACTGGAATAAGACTCTTGGACCCTTAATACAGTTAATGGTAACAGAAAGAGGCAATAAAGCACTGTGTATTGAGCGCAAACAACCAAACAGTCCTTCAACATGGGTTTCCATCTCATTACCAGCTTTTACATTGCGTGGATGTAAAATTCGAATTCAAGCAGCTGTTAAAGCAGAAAATATTAGTCTGCCACCCAATTCATGGAACGGTATCAAAATTATGCTCCATACAAAAGGATTGAATAGTGATAATTATCCACAGCAAAACCTACCACAGGGTACTTTCGACTGGCGCATGGCAGATTATGTAGCGAATGTTCCTCTTGATACACAGCAAGCAACACTCATGCTTGGTCTAGAGGCTGTGATTGGTAAGGTATGGTTTGATGATCTCATGGTAATTGTATATAGTAAACCACGTCCGCCTCCACCGACACCACCGGCTGGACTACCATACAAAGGCCATAATTTAACACGCTTACGAGGTGCAATGATCGGTACGAATCTTAAAGAGCAAGATTTTCGAGATTTTGCCGGTTGGAATGCAAATCATGTGCGCTGGCAATTGATGTGGAATGGATTTCCTCATAGCCCAGCAGATAATGGTGATATCTCTGCTTACGAAACATGGCTTGAAAGTGCACTCGAACATCTTGATTCAATGTTAACTATCTGTCGTCAATTAGGTATACATATTCTTGTTGATTTACACACACCACCTGGTGGACGTAACTCTGAAAAAGAGTGCAATTTATTTAAAGAGAAACGTTTTCAAGATACATTTCTTATGTTATGGGATAAGATAGCGAGACGTTACAAAAATGAATCACTTATTTGGGGTTATGACCTTGTCAATGAACCAGTCGAAGGCATTGTCCCCGATGATTTGATGGATTGGCGTGAGTTAGCAATCGCCACTGTTCAACGTATTCGTGCAATAGATTCAGAACACGCAATTATTATTGAAGCAGCTCCATGGGGTGGACCTGGTGCTTTGGCTGATTTTGAACCATTGCCTTTCCATAAAATTGTTTATTCGTTTCACATGTACGAACCTGGCGAATTTACCCATCAGAATGTCTATAATGATGTTTCACCTATTCCATATCCAGGCATCATCAATGGTAAAATGTGGGATAAAGAACAATTACGTCATAATATGAACCGTGTTCTCAATTGGCAACGTGATTACAATGTTCACATATATGTCGGGGAATTTTCTGCTATTCGTTGGGCACCCGGTGACAGTGCTTACACTTATTTACGTGATGTAATTGATATCTTCGAAGAAAATGGATGGGATTGGGCTTATCATGCATTTCGTGAATGGCCCGGGTGGAGTGTAGAACATATTGGTGACAAATATAATACCCAACGTGCTCCTACTCCAACCGATCGACAACAACTTTTAATTGATTGGTTTAAGAAAAACGAACATTAGAATGACATCTGTTTTTTATCTCGATTGTTCTGTCCAGCTATTTTGAAGAAAAAAAGAACATCCGGTTGTTGAACACATGTTCACTATCAAAAACGTTTTTCTCAATATATGTAACGAGACTGGTTGCAGCAGTTTTCGGATTCTCTCAAGGAGAGATCAAACAATTAGTTCGGTGGTGAGATTGACATCACTTGCAAAATGTCCTCTTACAAAAGTCTTTACTTATTGATTCAGTGTAAGGTGTACATTGATAGTTTTCGAATGTTTCGATATAACTTGTTATTTCAAGAAACTTAACGGCGTTGAGCAGGAATGAAGAAACAGTCTGTGTTCTCATTTCCACCCTCAAGGTTCATCTACTTCGATGAAACTGATATGCCTGTGCTTGATTGCACTGTTGGTTTGTGGAAAAATTCACTCTTCAATTGAATTCACTTTCGGTTGACGAAAGTTCAACTGTTACACAGAAAGTGTGATATATGAAGCACGTGGGAGTATTCAAGAAAAATTCAATAATAAAGCAATCAACAAGAAAAGTACCTTGGCATGCATACACGAAATTTAGCAAAAAAAAACAGAAATGACAATAACGGTAATGAGTGAATTCAAACAGCAGCAACAGAAGAAAAAGTAACGAGTTGGGTATGGGTGATATGTTAGGCATATCTAAAATATCATACTTTCGAACAAGAAAACACTGAACGCAGAGTGAATCAAGAAAGAATTCGTTTTATATTTGAAGAATTCGGAAAACGCAAACGGTTGAAGAAAAATCGATGAAGAAATATGATTGTTCAGCGAATAAGCAGAATTAGATGTGCCAAGGAAGATTGAATTACAGACTTCAAGTGATTGTTTTAGCATGAGTGAATTCATTTCAACGAGTTGAAAACGAAACTCTAGATATAATAAAGATTGTCATTTTTGGTGTACTGAAACAGTTCTATTTTCTCAAGAACATGGCTAATCCTTGATATTCTTATTTTCTAGGATGTAAATGTGAGTGAAACCTTGGCTATGTCCACGGTTTTACTCTTCATCCACCACCACTGACAATTACACTTACATTATCATTTTATATTCATTTATGACTGTTTATGTGATTTATATATTTAAGTACAATTCAGCACATGAACGCTTCAAAGATAAACTTTGACATAAAGATGGAAAACTTGTAATTAATGGGGAAAAAAACCGGTGTCCTTACGGAGTGAATATTTGAAATTAATGAATTTTAATATTTCATTCGACTCGATCTTTAGAAATTGTAACGACTAGCAACAGAACTCTACTGATTTGTCAGATAGCGTTAATGGTAAAATGAAGACTGTCAAAAAATTCTTAAATCAAACAATTGATGAAAAGATTAAGATTAAAAAGATCACTTGCTCTACTAAATGATAAATGTGCATTTGTTTATTCTTTGATCGAATGCTTCAACTTAGATCTACTTTTATTCGCTTCATTGCTATCATCAAGTAACTGTAAAAAAACTTAATTGATATTAAATCCAAAGTTCTAGTTCTATCAGTTCGTGACGATCTATTTCTGGTGGTTTGAATCTCAATAACTGTGACATTGGTTGTAAGATATAAATGTGTTGATAACGTTGAATATAAAATGATTCTAAATCAAAATATTGAACTTTGAGATTTCTATGTTACATCAAACTTATCTAATATAGCGAATAGCTAATCTTTCATTCTGTTGTGACTTAAAACATGATAAGAAAATTAAATTCTAATGTTGACAAGTTGTTTTTCATATTCTACGATGCATAGAAAATACTATCTTTAGTAGCATGACAATTTTATTTCTATAATAAACGTATATTGGCGAAGTTCAGCAAACTAGTTCATTGTTTTTGTTTTTTTCATTACTACAAAAACTACAAAGACTATCACAATTACGACAATAATTACGTAACACAATCTACGGCAGCATCCTTTCTTGGTTTCGGTTTGCTCTTGTTCTAGAGCAGCATCTGGTTCATCTATATCAATTGCTATTTCATCCATAGGATTTTGAATAACAGGAAAATATCGCAGAGTATCGTTATATTTGTCTGGATGTATCCATGCTTCTTGAGCTTTTCGATAAAGAATCTCATTAATCGATTTACTCGGTGGATCCATCGTTCGTTTGTCGAATTTCATCATCCATTCTGGATACGTTTGGCAGTACTTGTCTCTAAGTTGCATAATAGGTGTCAAATTAATATTTTCACCAGTTTTGCGCGCATCAATTGCTCGAGCAAACAGTCGAGCACATTCTTCACATTCTTTCGAAAGTGTACCATCGGAATGTTTGTCAGCAATAACTGAATGTGTATTAGCGATAATACCAGGTGCTGTATCCGTGAATGTAGCAAGTACATGATCTACGATGAGTTCGTTGGTTACGCGACGGACACAAGATTTCTTGGTGGATGGATAAAATAATGGTTCAACAGCTACATCAATTTGAAACTCATTACCCCAATAAACCCAATACTGATCACCATCAAGATCAGCTCCAGCCATTTCATTGAAGTTAGGTCGATCACCATCAACAGAAAATACAATACAATCGCGTATACAAGACTCAAGCTTTGGCACACCTACTGCTTTGAGTTTACGGATGTCTCCCGGATGAAGACATGGATTTTTAGTGACTAATACAGTACCTATAATTTGATATAAAGATGATTCAATTAGTTTATAGAATTTCAAAGCATTAAAATTATACCTGTATGTACAATATATTTTTCGGACATTGACGAATTTTCAAGACTACGATACTGAATGAAACATTCTCCTGATCTTAATGTTCCAGTTTCATCGGCTATGCCGAATAGACATCGAGCTTCATTTACAGGCAATGGAATTTTGTTACGAATAAGAAAGTTTTTCCTACAAATCTCAACAGTATACATATCATTGTTAATGTAATTCTTCACATAAACTTACGCATTTTTATATTTTTGTTGATTTTCCTTTATTACTAATCGATCAAGAGAATCTAATGCATTTAAATAACATTTCGCTGGTGGATGCCAAAATTCTTTTCGATCAATACATCGTACTTGAATAGACTCGAATACACCATTGCTATTGCCCAAATCACTCAATAATCGAATAACTTGATTATTCAAACTCAATGGCACTATAAATATTCATAATAAGAAACTATATGAGAAAATTCATTCATTAATTATTTACTAGGTCGAGAATGGTCAACAATATAAAGATTCCAATCATCACTTTCAAATTTGACCATACTTTTTCGAACTTTAATATAGAATTCATTTGATTTCGATTTAGGATCGATTGATAACATTCCTTTACATCCGGCTATTCGAACTTGAAAAGCCGATGGTATATCCGACTAAATTCTCATAATGTGAAATTAAATTGATAAAGTATATAAAAAAAAACAGCAAATAACCTTTTCGTTAATTTGAATACCAATATTTCGTGCGATCTTTTTCGCAAGACCAAGCGAAATTTTACCACAACCATCAGTGAAACAAAATCTATTGTGTTCAATATCTGGAATGATGGTAGCCGTATATTCTATTTTCTCATTTTTAGATTTATAAAACTAAATAAAATAATTGTTGACAAGTGAATTATTATATAGATCTTTATCATACCAGTCGTCTCACTGCTGATGTCAGACGTGAGAATATAGTAGATGTTCGTTCTAAATATGGCATTTCATTGGTGTCAGTTGACTCATTAATATAAGTTAGTTTGATCTAGATTTAAAAACAGAGATTGTGATATTAAACAATCTTTCAGAAATATGATCAGAATGATAGATGCGAATCATATTTTTTTGAATTAGCAACTGAGACTTAAATCAAAGTTTTTAAAAAAACGAGTTTAAAATTTAAAGATAGCAATCGGTAGAAATCTAATTAATTACCCCGGTTGACTTTAATGTTGTCAGATATAGACCAACTCGTGCAATATAAGTAGATACATTGAGAATTTTTGACAGGTCTCCAATTTGTTCACGTGCTGATTCCATGGTTTTTCCATGAGGCAGTGATAGAAACCAACCAGCCTGGTCGTTCATTTGACTGCCCGATGATCCAAAATATTGAAAATAACGTTTATCACGAACAATACCTTTTATCATGAAATTTCTAAAACGTACTCGCATTTGAAGATCTAGATTATTAATTTTATCTATTCCATTATAATTACGTATGTGAACAAGTAACCAATCCTCCGGAGGATATAATTCAAATCCTCGATGACAACGTGTCATTTGCATAGGTTGATATTCAATACGGTTTGGTGTTATAATTGCAAATGCTATTTCTTTTAATTGTGATGATTCATTAGAAGTTTCATGATTTGTTTTTGAAGTTGTATCATTCAATGCATCTTTAATTCGATAACAATGATTCTGTTTTAGATTACGCCATATTGTACAACATACATCATATAATTTTTTTTGCTGAATACCAACTATTGATTGAGAATCAGCATTGTATTTATCTTGAAATAAATAACCCAATGACCAAAGCATTTCCATACCATAGGAATCGTAAGCAGAAGGATATGATGGCATACCCATAGGAGAAAAACTACTTGAATCTTTTTGCCAACGAAATAAAGCAAAATTTATATGAAATAAATCATCTGATACTCTTCGAGAATAACCAGCAATCGGTAAATTGCGTAAAAATTTCCATGCCGTATTAGCCGGAAAAAATCTTACAAGTAAATCATTGCATAGTGGAAGTTTGCTCATCAATTGTGTATGATCACTAAATGTACAAATTATATAGATATTTTTATTTTATTTTTGACACTTCTTCCGATAACTTTTTTATTTGCATTCTTATCACATACGCCTATAATTGCTTGTACTATGTATATCTTCATGTGCAAAATATCTTGAAATTTTGAGTATATGATGATTTTTCTTTACACTAAACAGAAAAGAAGTTGCGCAAATTGCAACGAATTCGAAACCATTTTTAGGTTTCATAGCGTGTACGAAACTCCCTTCAAGTTCTGTGTTGCATTATTTCATTGTGAAATGCGATCTAAAAGAAGTATTGAAGCATAGGCATAGAAAACTTTTTTTTTTCTTTTTGCTTGTTTACCAATCGTCAAATCAAAAAAGCTCAGAGGAATTGAAGAAGTTAAACTCGCAAAAAAGAAATACGTCAACATTCTTCTATCGAAAATGTGCTTATATTTGCTCTTCTATACAAAGAATTTAAGATCTTTATAAAAAAAATTATTTTACCAATTTTTTGTTCCTTCTCGTTTTTCGATGATTGGTGATGATTTCAGCATAAAAATAATTTGAATTGAATTATCATTCGCAGAATGATTGATTAAAATCTGTGAATCTATATTTTTGAATTGAATTGTTAGAAAATATGTTGCTGTTTCTAATTTAATTGCTTTGGGATATTTTGGAACATAAATATTAGCAAGAGTTCGTTCATCTGTATGTCCAATAAAAGTATCACATGAGAGCATGGCTCCAAAACTATACACTACACGAATTTCATCAGGAATTTCCTTCAAAATTTGAGTACGATCTTCAATATCATCAAATGCTTTTGTCTGTATATTAAACCAAACTTGACGATGATCACTTGTCAAAATATCACGCAAATGAAAGCGTATAAAATATGCTAATTTACGATCATAACTGCTTGTTTGTTCGATATCCGATTGTTCTAATGAAACTTTTTGAGTCGTTTTTGTTAATGCTAATTTAGCTTTTATATTTTTGTAAATCATACGAGCTGCATTTGAATTTGATTGTAAATTCTTGAATTGGCATGGAACTCGATCACCTTCCATGGATACACTACTATTTATTAAAACAAAAATAAAATTACGATCAGTTGTCATTTGTATCTTGATACTTTAAATTATTCAAACAAGCAGAATAGATTCGTAAGAACTTAATTATTTTAGCTGTATGCTTTTGTAGAAATATATCTTTGAAATATTTTGCCTGTCTGAGAAACTCATCTTTATATTAGTTTAAAAATGATTTATACAGTTTGCGGTAGAGATTTTCGTATTGACAGCATGATCACATCAAACTTCATCGTATCTGCCAGAAGTCGCTAGAAGAATCGCCGAAAAAAATGTGGTAATAATGACAAAAAAAAAACTATGAACTATAGTGTTTTTATAATTCTCTGAGATGAGATTGATTCGGTTCAAAGCCGAATCGAATTGAAATCAGTTTGAACTTTTACAAAAAGTAGAGTGGCTCGGTGATAAAAAAAAACGAGAACCGATCCTATCTCTGGTAGTGTGCCTCGTATCAAATACTCAGTTTTCATCTATCATGGATTTATCTCTCGTTTGAAAATCTTACATTCCACCTGTTTGATAGTGACATNACACCCGCACGAACACCCTCATCCACACCACCACACCCACACCCACACCCGCTACCAACTCACATGGCTACCATCTGACTTGGTAGTCAATTCAACCGACTTGGAAGCCATCTCACGTGGTTCTAACTGACTTAGTGTCATGGAATAATTATCTAAAATATAATTGTTGTCTATATGACCGATTAAATTCAACTTATATTTTTTTCGGTGATAAATTCATTCGGCGAAATTCGTCTTCGGCGAAAATGGAATTTACCTCATCTGACTACTGTAAATGAGGATGAAAATAAAAAATATTATTTTTGTCTGCTAAAAAAAAAAACGAGAAAGCAGAAATAAAATTACATCTATTGTTGTGAATTGTACTAACCAACTATCCAATCATATATTACTAATTATCTGGTAATACAATATGGTAAAAATATGTGGTTTGAATCTGATAAATTTTTTGTCCGAAGAGGAGACAGAATAACTCATGAACAATCGTACGATAAAAAAAGTAGAATAGCTGTATATCGGTTAAAAAAACGTCTTAGTCTTTTTCAGTTGCTAATAAAGTTCTATCAAAAGTTTTCTTTGTCCTACTGATCACATAAATACATACTGCTTTGAAATATGATTATTAATAGCACTAAACAAACATAAGTTGCCGCCAGGTATGAAAAATACATGTTGAACGACCTATAGATGATTTTCTGTTCTCACCTATGACCAGAACAAAGCAACGTCAAAACAAACTTTCTTAATAACATTATATTGATGTATATAGAGCAAACTTTTCGAACTAGTTACTTTAAAAATCAATGATTAGAATATCTCAAAAATTTCGAATACCGAATATCATTGTTTCCATGGAGGTGATATTTGGTATTTGGAGGGCTCAATCATGCATTTGAATTGATGGACACGAATGCCAATACTGACAATAATTAATTCTGAAAGTTTGTTCTAAATGAATCAACGTTATACCATTTAGAAAGTTTGTTCTGACTTTCCTTATTATTACCATATACAGTAAAACCTCTTTAATCTGAGCGCCATCGGGACCGGCAAAAAGTGCTCAGTTTAAGGAGGTGCTCATTATTCGGAGATTTGCAGATTCTCTCATAAAGAGTCTGAATATTCACTTGAAAATGCTTTTCAAGAGCACAGAATGATATTGTACTTCGTTTCAATAATTTATTTCCTAATATCACAAATGTTTACAACACATAACTAAGTTTTTTTAAAATAACTATCAAGTGTGCTTTGCATAGAAGTTTTTGAATCAAGATAAATGTCTGTTAACATTGATTCAATACCAATAATAGCTTGATGAAGTTGTGGAGATTGCGTAATAGAAAATAAACGTAATCGTCGTACCATTTCGATTGTTTCACAAAGCTTTGGTGGTGTTTCTTCATTGATTTTTTCTTCATCATCATCTAATTCATTTGATTGAGTAATATTATCAAAAGTAACAAGTCGTTCCGAATCGTCATTCCATTCATTAAATGTTGGAGCATGAGAATCAATATTTATAAATTCATTAGCATTCAATGTTGATCCACTAATTACAACATGTTTCAATAAATTATCTAAAATCTTTGTTTCTTCATTAATACCAAAATCCATTAACAATAAATCATTTGATGTTGATGATACACCATTAGTAGTATCAGGAGGAATTATGCATGGTAAAGGATCGATTTGTTGTTGTTTAAAGCCAGCAGCTGTAAATGTATTTTGAATTGTTGATTTAGTAACAGATTTCCACGCTGAATCGATCCAGCATACTGCATCAAGTGCAGTAATTGTAATATCACCGGTTGTTTGTGCTGTTGAGCAACTAGCAATAATATGTTTCACCAACGATTTTCTATAATTTGCTTTAAATGAATGTATCACTCCTTGATCAAGTGGTTGAATGACTGATGTTGTATTAGCAGGAAAAAATTGTAACTTAACATTAGATAATTGAATATCAGTTGGATGACATGGAGCATTATCGATAAATAATAAAATACGTCGATTTTGTTTTTTCACGTTTAAGTTTAAATTATTTAACCAATTTCCAAATAATTTTGCGTTCATCCACGCTGTTCTATTAGCAGTCCATTGCACAGGAAGTTTTTGAATATTTATATGCTTGAAACAGCGTGGCTTTAAACTTTTGCCTAAATAAAAAAAAAAGTTTTATTTTATTTACCCATTGTCTTTTAATTAAAAAAGAAACTGTCTTACCAATGACCAATGGTTTGAGTTTTTCATCACCACTCCAGTTAGTGCATAATAAAATTGTAAATCTTTCTTTGGATCGTTTTCCACCTTTGCAGTCTTCTTTATTTAACACGAATGATTTTTCTGGTAATGCTTTAAAGAAGAGACTTGTTTCATCGGCATTAAAAATATTTGAACAATCATATCCATCGATAATTAATGGTAGACGATTTTTCCATTCGTTGGTTGTAACAGGATTAACACTTGTTGATTCTCCACAAATTGCACGATAAGAAATATTATGTCTGGCCTTGAATTTTTCAAACCAGCCGTTGGAAGCCTTGAAGATAACATTACCACCAAATTCTTCAGCAATTTGTCTTGCTTTTTCTTGAATGGTTGGACCAGATAAAGTTATATTTTTTGCTCTTTGAGCAACAAACCATGAATAAGTTTCTTCATCAATTTTTCTTCTAAGATTATTTTTAATTTTTCTTCTTACATCATGACATTGATTTGATTCAAAATCGTTCAAATATTCTTGTTTACGTTTTAAAATGTTACATACAGCACCAGTTGATATTTTGTATTTTGTTGCCAAGTCTCGTTGAGAAAATTGACGATCATAATCTCTTATTAATTCCACTTTTTTCAGCAGAGGTAAATCGACGCGTGGTGCCATTATTTTATATTCGTGATTATCGTTACAAAAATGAGAAAATGTCACATCGGACAACATTATTTATACTGAGTGATTATTTTCTTTTAATTACGTCCGATTAGTCTATGTCGGTCAACTTGTGTCTCTTGATTATTTTTAATAAAAGAGACAAAAAATTCGTTCTTTTCTCATTCTACGTGTCAATTATACAACACATATTGCTCATATTTTAGAGGTTATTATTGTTCAAGGGACCAATAAAATGTGCTCACTTACAGAATAAGGAGGTGCTCATAACCGAGAGACTCATTTCCAGCAAAATACGCTCGGGCGGCCCACAGAGTGCTCAGTCTAAGGAGTTGCTCGTTATTGGGAGGTGCTCATATATAGAGGTTTTACTGTAATTGATATTTGAATAGTAAATTTCAGGATTCTGGATGAAATTAAATGAATATGAATAACGATTATCAAAAGTTTTTGAAGCAAAATAAGGTACAGTGATGAGAGCATTTTGATGGGCATCATATTCGACAAACCATCGTTTTTCTTTCAACCACCATCTTGATTTAAATGTATTCAAAAGATAATAAATGTCTTGTTCGGATGTTTGTTCAATAGAAAATTTAAAATTAAATGTTTTCAAGAAAATGAGCGATGTTCTTAGAAATCTTTTCCATTGAATTCCACTCAATATATTATTATCCGTTATCAATGGTTTGGTCAATATTAATGTCAAATATTTTAGCCGAGACATTGTCGATAATATTCTTTTCAACATCCAAAATCGAACACTAGTTTCAACTGAAAAATAAGAAGAAAAATATTCGATGAAGCTTTTTGAGAACTGGACAAGAGTATAATTGAAATTAACTAAAAGATAATTGTTTGATTGATGTAAAATCCTCCATTAGATAACTATCTATGTTCTATACACATTGAATTTATTTTAGAAAATGCAAAAAATTCAAACAAGTAATTGTCAGGTTGGACTTTGACGCACCTGTTCTACAAAAAGCAATGGATAACAAACTGATCGGTAGGGAAAATGATCATTTTAGGCCGAAAAATAACATTCGGGTCAAAATAGCTATTGATGCTCCATACATATATATATATACAGTCACTTTAGAAAAAATGTTTCAGCACAGAAGAAAAATGAATTTGTACTCAGGATTAATGACAAAATGGAAGAAACGAATAAACCCCTTTGAAACAAAGTTTAGAGTTCATTAGGACAATGTGACTTGAATAATCTCTGGCAGACGGTGATTGGCTTTTTGCCATACAAGATAATAGCACTTACATGTTTTGTTGTTTTTTTTAATTGTTCGATGATAGTCATTATTCGTTTGTGAAAAATCTTTTTTTTCTCTCATGAGATCAAACATTATGCTCAGATACTTACATTTATTTCGTCTAGGAATTCATATGTACAACTGAATGTTGTCAGCATTTTGTAGAACTCATGTATATAATCGAAGAAAATCGACCGTGTCAGTTCAGATCCTGATTATTTTGGGTCGTTTATCTGAGCAAAGGAAAAAGTGCATCGGTAATAAGTTTTTAGACATGTTGGAACCTTCTAGAATCTTCCAAGCCATTCTATGAAGCTAAGATTTCTGTTGTAAATGTTAAGTTACCAGCATATTTTAGGTTTTGCTTATTTAATGCAATGAAAGCATCTTATTGCAGGTGTCAATCAGTAGGATTGTAATATTATTGATTCGACAGAGTCGGAATATAACAAACAAAATAATGAAAAACAACTGAATTCTAAATTGATGCAAACTACGCAGTATATGTAAAAGTTTGTGGACAGAAAAGATGATGTGCTCCGAAGCTTACTAAACGATTACGTCAATGTGTAAAGCAGACTAAGAAAGTGGTTGAACAGAAGAAACGAAGAAAAGAATTTTTCTCATACCTTAAGTCATCATTTTATTATTTGATATCATTTTTTCTGTAGAAAACGAAATTATTTCTAGGGATCTTATTTTTCTGCTGATCAAGTATGTATAAAACTGATGATTAATAGAAGAATTTGTTTCATATCTGAAATCATTATTTCATGGCGTTTTTCGTGAAGATGTTTTGTTATCACTTCGATTGATGACATTTATTTTGAAAGGATAATAGTGTTTCATAGTTTAAGGATCATCTTCTGAAGATGATCACAGTCGACCTGAACGTCTGAGTTCAGCTTCAAATATTCATTGTTGTTACCGATCGAAAAATTTGTTCAACCATCTCTATGAAGAGAGTTCTGCTTCTAAAACGAGGCGACTAAATAAATGTGCAGAGTTAGAGCGAGTAAAGATTAAAGTTGTTTATCTCTGATTCAAATCAGAGATAAAAAACCAAATAGAAATATTCGACTCAGTAGTAATCCCTTCATCAAGTCTCAAACATGAGCAATGAAGCTCACTTTAGTGTAGGGCTCATGTTCTCTGTATCTTGTGCTTTTTCAAACTATATCGATCTATTTGTGTGCGAAGTCTACTAAGTCAACTATTGTTTTTATTGTATTTAAAAAAAAGTCAGTTGCTATTGGTTTATGTTAAGATAGATAATTTTAGAGGATGCAGACCTATGTGTAGTTTTTTCCATGACTACTTATCTTTGCACATATTTAGTAGAGCTTTCTAATTTTATGCAAAGGTAAGCTTTTTGCCTAAATATAGATAGAGTTCTATTATTAGAATGATGCGTGTTTGCTTCTTTGATTACATAATCGGCTGCACATTTATAAGTAATTATAAATTTGATGATTTATTATTCTGATACATATCCTGATTCGCTAATTGGTAAGACAATTGACTTTAAAAAACTTGACTGAAAAACCAAATATCGCAGTTTTCTAATGCAAAGGCTGTACGATTGATTCAGTCAAGTTTCAGGATTACTAAGTTCAATACAAATCTGGAAATTGAGAAAGGGTTCGACAAAAATCAGAGGTATGTACATTCTTTTTCGCTATATCTGCGTCTTCCTCCGAACAGATGATATCTATTGCAGCGTTTATCATGCAAATTCAGAAACTACTATCTTCAGTGATCGATACGAAAAAAGCATTTCTTTTTGTAAAATAAAAGTCCTAATATGTACTGTAACTTCTCTTTGAAGCTTCCAAATTTCTCTAAATTGATAGATTTAGTATATGTACACACGAAAGCTTTAAAGTAAAATATCATGGCGGATGTAAATACATTTTACTCATTAATGTGTCTCATGTTTGTCACAGTCATGAAACGACACATGTAGTAAAATAATCACATATCCTGCATCTGTTAAATGCATTAGATTTTCTATAGCACAAATAGTTTTATCTTTTAAAATTATTCTGATAACTAATTCATTTTGTTTTTGAATCAAAATAATTGTTATAAAAGTAATTAGAATTGAGAGTGAGGACGAGAAGAAATTTTAATTTGTTCTAGGAATATTTCAATAAGATACATTTGAAAATTCAATATTATGACAAAGACGTGTCCATTTTCGTTGCAGAGAATTCTCATGGACGATAAATCTCTCTAGAGAAAAAATTCTAGAACAACTTTTATTTTTGTAACCTCTTTCTATGAATAAAAAATTCACCAAGATAATCATCACTCTTCATTAATAGACTGGAAACGGATTATTTTCGTCTCAATAAGACCTGGTCTTTGCTTTAGTATGAAATTGAATGATTTTGAAGACTCTACGAGAAACTAAATTCATCTTCTATTACTTTTATGCTTTTCAAGTGACATTGACTTTCATATTTGTCACATTTTAGATTGTGCTTGTGAGTGAAGGAAAGACTCACACTCACACTAAATGCGCATCAAACAATGTATCTATTTTGTTATTTACCGTTGAAATTTAGATTGAATTGAATTAATTGTATCCATTGATAATCATTGAAAAGCAACATCAATTGATTAATATCATTTAAACTGCACTGAATTTCAATACCGAGTGATTGCAGTTGATGCATATTGGGACGAATAAATTGATCTATATCATTAGTAGAATCAAAATACATATGCAAATATGTCAAATGAGTTGGTATTTCTTTAGATAATTGACGAAACTGGTTGCTCGAAGATGTAACAAGGTGTGAAAGAGAGTGAAACGAGTAACTCGATAATGTATAAAGTTTACTAAGATGAATACGATCGAAACGAATTGAAATGAGATCATTATAGTTTATTATTAATGCCAATCTTGACATAAATAATTCATCAACTATGATTGTATTATCAATCCAAAGTGAACGAAGACGAGTAAATGGTTTTTTATTAGAAAAATTCGACAGAAATCGATTGACCAAACCAAAATTAGTTTTACCAAATTTCAATCCAACAATTTGTTCTGATCGTAGAAATGAACAAACAAGATCCATTTCATTTTTTGATATGTTTGATGAAGATAAATCCAATCGATAGTTATCATAACTAATTAGAATATCATTTAAATAATTACTTATTGAATGAAATGCTCGTAATATGTGACAACACGAAAGATAAGATAATATCTCATAAAGTAACTCGACTGATAAATAATTCAAAAACATGTTAGGCATAATGTTATTTCACATGGACATGTATACGCAAGCTAAAATAAACAAATGAGAAAAATAATGTTTTGTAGAGATAAAAGAAGCGATGAGTCACTCAAAAAGGTATAATAAAACCTATTTTTAGTTTCGTATAATATGTATATGTATAGGTCGCTCAGTTTATTTTCAAACGATTTTGCTTGCAGTTTTTCTTCGTTATTCACGTGCGCAGATATTATGATTATAATATTAGTTCAGTTTTCTAATACTGCAATTGTTACTGTTACATTTATATTTCAGATAAATAAATGTCTCGTAATAAAATATCTGATGATATTAAAAAGATCGTCAAATATCTTTTGACTAAAATGTGTTCATATTCAATGATCAAGCAAGAATTATTTAAAATGAATCTTAATGTGTCGAAAAGTACTATTAATCGTATAGCTAACAAAGTCGAAAAACAACGTCTATTAAGTTTATTAAATAATCAAAACCCAAAATTTTATCGCCGACGTCAAATAGCAATATCTGACATTGCTCGTCATATTACATGATATAATGTAAGTCAAGAAAATGGTCCAACAATCTCGATCATAGTCAACAGATGTGGTATTAGCGTTGATACCACTATTGATGTTATTCATGTCAAATCTCGTAAAAAAAAAAAGGCTGATATCATCAATTATATCCAGTTGTTATTAAAAAGAGACGATACACAGCTTGGCTTATGTATCGTCGATTATGCAATGGAAGGTAGAAAAAAATATGTCACTACTGATGAAGCATGATTTTATCTCGATGCAAGTCAAGGTGTTCGAGATATATATCATGTTAGAAGCAATGTATTACCTGATGAAGTTAGAAAAATTCAACGAAATGATTTACATCCTGTAGTCGTCGTACTTTGGATTGATGTATGTTCACATAGCAAAGCTCATGTAAGTTTTACGATACATTATGGTCTTTTAATAGAAGTTGTTTGTTTATGAACTTCGAAACATTTTTCTCAAGTAAAATGACACCAAGAAACCTAATTATATGCAATCATTATCTGACTTTCTTCGACAAACATATATCAGACTACCTAAAAAGACATCATATAAAAATCGTAGACCACTCGTCAAAATTCTGTATCTGCCACTGATTATATTTTGAAACAGTTTTATTCTGAATTATATTTAAATACAAAAAAAGCGAATGAATAGAAAACATGTTTTTTTAGATTTTTTCATAACAAAATAAATTACACACATAAACATGAATACAATATATAGAAATAATAAAGAATAATTATTGTAAAATAATACACACACTATAATCTCATCAAAGAAAAACATTGAACAAAAAACTACGAAACAATATGAATTAATATCAAAATGGAGACAAGCAGAAATGAACAATCAAATAAAAAAAGAGCGCACAGAATCATATCAAATATAACGGATAATAAAATAGAAGAATACATGCCAAAAGTAAGGAGAAACTAGCAGACAAAATAGAACAACAAATAAATGTATGAGATCTTCTGTCTCATGAAAATATATTATCGGAAAACAAGATTAATCTATGCATAGGACTTTGGAAATTTCTTTTGGTATGCAGCAACAAGAGCGTTTCCTTTCGAATCTCCACCGACATTCTTTAGAATTACTTCTGTCACTAGATCTGTTAACATGTCTGCGCCTGACGAGGAATTTATATCTAATAGCTCGCATCTTCCTTTTGTTTTATTAGCAATCTGTCTAAAAATGGCTTCTGCACGGTTTGCAACAAAAAAAGCATACACTGGGATATTTTTCGATATCAGTTTCTCTAACTCATTTTCATAATAGGTCTCCTGTGCAAATTTAGTAGTCTGCCAATATGCCTCTCCACGGTTATTTCTCTTCGATTTTACTTCGTCTCTTGTATTTGGAGGCTCATCACCAATCAATATAACCTGTGTGATTGCTTCTCTCTCGTTTTCACTATTACTGTGCTGTAAACCAATTTCAATGGCTTCATTACCTAAGCCACCTTCAACATTAATGCTACTCATGAAAGCACGTAAATGATCCGCTTTCGTTTCCAAAGGAGAACTTTGAAGAATCTTATCTTCAACACAACAATAGTTTCGATAGACAACAAATTGAATTTGAAACGATCCTTCACTGATGTTATTGTCTCGCAGCACTGCTATAGTACGCTCGAACATAATCTCCACTGTGTTTTTGCATCTATGTAACAAATGAGACATTGAACCTGTAGCATCCATTAAACAAATTGTTCGAGACTGACCGGAACCCATATTTGGTCCTTCGTTTTCTTTCGCTAAAAATGTTCTAACGAAATTAACATCTCCCGAATTGAGACTTTTTAGAAATTGTTGAGTAGCATCATGCCTTTCTTTCGCTTGCTTAATAAATTTAGTATTAGCTTCATATTGTGCTTTGAATAAATCGGTATGCTTCTCATGTAGAAGTTCATATACAGTATCATAGGTTTTTTTTGTCGTGGTAAGCGCACTTGCACGACGAACTAGAATTCTTACACCTCTCTTAACATTTTCAATATCTTCCTTCTGAATGAGAAATTTCTCCAAATCGCTATCGAGTAGTATCATACTATACGAACCATAATTACCTTGTCTTGCAGTTCTACCTTTAATCTGTTTTTCTTCCGAAAGAAATGTCTGAATGACGTGAGTACCATCATTGTTAACAACACTTGGGCCATAACATACGAAATCTGTTCCTCTACCGAAAGTTCTGGTTAGCAGAGTTATTTGACCAGATGTCGTAGCACGTTTTATTGTAACTTCTTTTTCTTTTGAAGACGCTTCTTCTGTTAAATACGCAACTGATGGTTTTATTGCTTCTAAAGCCTTTGACTCATAGAATTCTTTTAATTTTGATATTGATTCGAAAATGACTAATACAGCACGTTTTTCTGACGATTTTCCTCCTACTAATCTGTCATCGATTTCTCTTCTGATGGTATTGAAATAATTATCAATATTTTCAATACTAATATCGTCTTTTTCTCTAAATTTAAGATTATTTTTACCAAATACTGAAGAAGTATATGTATTTTTTCCGATTTTATACACAATTTTTATGACTTCTTTTTCAGGATCACTTAACGTTTCTAATGTTCCTGTAACACCCATTATGTATTTAAACTGGAGTGGTATCTCAGCGTACGAAAAGTTACTACACCTAATATTTAACCTAATTCTTTCGTCTAAACTTTGGCTCGTTATCTTACCATTCTCATGTTCACAATAATATGCAAATAAAGTTTTATAACCATAAACAACATTGTATGCGATATTATCCTGTTCTACATATCCAATTTTATCCTGATTTACAACATAATCATGGGATTCAAAGTTTTGTACATCATAAATAATATCTTTAACAGCCTCAAGAATCAATGGTTCCCAAGTTGGAAATCTATTGCAACAAGCTTGATACTAAGCTGTAGCTTTTATTTGATTGAGATTTAAGTTCGATTTTCTTTGTGTCCAAATATAACTGATTAGCGATGTAATAGTAGGATCTCGCAAGCTAGCTGACGGTGTATACACATTACCATAAAAATCTCGACTAAAGAAAATATCTACTTCGTCAATTAATAATATTTTAGCACGTTCAATACGTTGGCCACTTTGTGCAGCACTACTAGAACCATTCAATATAAACTCTTCTACCATTTGGCGAATATTGCCATTTCGATTAATCATATCTTCACAGAGTTTATTAAAGGTACCGTATCGAATATATTGGACTACTCCTAAGGACTCGAATACCGGTAAAAACCCCTTGTAATCTCTTTGACTTAAATATTCACTATAACATGCACAACGTACATCGAAACCAAGCAGTGCAAGTATTGTGGCTGTAGCTCCTAATGTTACAGATTTTCCCTCGCCAGTTCCAATCTGTACTAAATTATTTGTTAATTCTTCCTTTTTGTCACCTATGCCGAGCATACGAAATATTGAAACTACTTGAGCTGCATGGGGTCTAAGAAGATTACTGCTTTGATTTTCTTCAGTTGCGACTTCAAAGTAATTGCTTACATTTTGAAGTGTCCACAAAGCAAAAACATGTGCTAGTAGCCTTGGGACTTTGTCTCTTACACTTGCATCCCATGCGATTTTTTCTAGCGTCTGTTTAATATCTCCAGCAACTAGTTTCGTTTCTACAATCAAATTTTCTAGTTCTACATTTTCTTTAAGGTACTTTCTGATTAAGTCATCATATATATCTTGAAATTCTTTATGTCGTTTCCTTAATAGATCTGTATTAATAAAGTCACCCGTTATATTTTTTAGTACATAATCAATACCATGCCTTTGAGTTTTCTCATTGAATAGAGACAATGAATAACCTTAAAATGCTTTGTGCTCGGCAATCAAACTTTGTCCTATACCACTCGCATCTTGATTTACAATAGCACTTAATTTTGAAAAATTAGTCGAATCTTTTGTTTTATTTTTATAATTGATTAGTGCTTCATCAATTATTTGATGTATTCTAACCTTTAATGATGATATATTATTTGAAACACGCTTCATGTTGATTAAACACGTCGAAACATGTTGAACTGATGAGTCTTGATCAACTACACCCGCCCATATGTGAATTTTATCAAAAATTATTTTTTCAATTTTCTCAACATGTTTATTTATTTCACAATCTATTTCTATCAGTTCTCGTTGACATGATAATAAATTACTATAATATAAATTAAAATTATCATAATCCTAACCTATCAATCTAGAATCTTCAGAAAATTTTTTCAAAAATACTTCAGTAGCAATAGAAATATCTGTAATTTGTGTGACTAATGATTTCAAACATTCACTTTTACCCACATTTATATTAATATTGAGATCATGCTTACTAAGAAGTTGAACGTTATTTAGAATGCGAATTTTCTCATTAAGGTTTCTATAAAATTTATCTCGATGCTGGTTAAACTGTATTGTCTCTGGATTGATAAGCTTTTGATGAATGAGTTGATTTTTTAATTCTTCAATTTTTTTAGATACAGATTCTAACATATGTGAATAAACTGTAAGTTTTGAAATTGCCATCGTCATACTATTTACGGAAATATCTTCGATATGATAAATTTGAATAATATTTTTCATTGTCATAGGCAACGAATCCCATTTATTCATCATGTCCAAAATATCTTTAAGAGATGCAATATCGATTATTTCCAATGCACTTTCGTAGTTTTTCTGAATTTGCATAAAATAATCTGCAGTTTTTCTACTTAATATGATTATTTTCTCATTGAAATCTTCTGGAAACATATGAGTTAAAATAGGTTGACCTTTCAAATCATGTGCAAAGTTAATAAATTCGAATAAACAAAGAAAACTTTTCTCTACATTTCTAATTACTTCATTCGTCATTTCAGATGTATTATTTTGTAAAAAATGATTCATAAAACAAATGTATGCAAGTTGAAATTTTCTTTTAATATTAGATCTTGATTTTAAATATGGTTCTCTATCATCAGTGACAATAGTTTCCAATTCGATTTTATATTCATATAGGATTTTTACAACAGATAATGCTTCTTTCACATCATTTTGTTCGAAATAGTGATTTATTTTATTGACTACATCTTGCATCTGGTTCAAAACAATTTTTCGACCCTTTTTAATAAAAGACTGCATACCTTGTGAAGTTTTATATTCTTCAAGAAGAACTTTGATAGATTTTGGATCTCCATTACTAATCACATCTGTGAATGTACTGTGTGTAACTTGATCCATAGACATTATATCCTTCTTACAGTATTCTAAATCTATTTCAAGGGTATTTTTCAATGTTTCAGGTAAATGGTTAACAGCAGACTCAAACTTTCTTATATGAATATTGCTCAGATTTGGAGGCATTGTCTTCTTTGCTAATTCCAATTCTTGTCTAAATTTAACTGTAATACTTTCTCTTATTTTATTTAAAGCTGAATTATATATTAAATTTGTGTTCTTAGCTGCTTCAAATTTTTCGAAAATTTCTTTTGGTGGATGCAACGTATATAAACCAATGTCCATATCTGAATATTTTTGAACTACCACAACTGTTACAACACTTTCTTGACATGTTTTTATTCTTTCGATCTCATCGGAAATTAATTTTGTACAATANGATTTTATCATAATAAAAAAACAAATTATAATCATATCATGAAATGTTTGTCGAATTTTAAAAATGCACGATGGATAGAAAAATATGAATTTAGAATGTATTATGATTTAATCGATGATTATAAAATAGAAATTATTCGTTATATAAAAGAATTGAAAAAATCTATCATAGTTTTATTTAAAAGTACAAGTTTTTCATTGAAATCATCTGAAAACATATGTTTTAAAATCGTTTGATTTTGAAATTTATCTCGAAATTTCATAAATTCTATTAAATAAAAAACATTTCTTTCTATTACTTCTGTCATCTCATCAATTAATATATTTCCATTATTATTAAGAAAATATTTCATACAACAAAGATATATTTCTTGAAAGATTTCTGTCACTTTTAATCGTACGTATGAACATGATTGTTCAATATTGAAAAGATTTTCTAGTTCAACATTATAATCATAGAGTATTTCAATATGATCTAATGCTTCATTTATTTTATAATCTTGTAAAGAATCATTTATTTTCAATGCAATATCTCGTGTCTGTTGAAGAACATATACTCGACCTTGATTTACATAATATTGCATACCTTCTGTCTGTTGATAATCTTGAATCATTTTTTTAATATGTTTAAGATCTCTACTATCACATGTATCCTTTAAATTTTTAATGTTATATTCCATATTTTTCTGAATATCATCTTTACAATATTTTACTTCGATTTCAAGACATTCTTGCATATCTTTTGGTAAGTATTTAATTCTCGATTCAAATTTTCTTATATGAATATTAATAGGATTAGGTGGTTGTTTCTTTTTAGCTTCATCTAATTCTTTTCTAAACTTATTCAAAATAAGTTCTTTTATTACATTAAAAACTTGAGTATATTTTAGATTTCTATCCCTAATTTTTTCCAGTTTATCGCATATGTCTGTTGGTGGATTCAAAATATATGCACTAATATCCATTTCTCTATATCTTTCAACAATATTAGATATGATTTTATCCAAATTTTTATTTAGTTCTTCAATCTGTTCAAAAATATAGTTTGTACAAAATGGACCTAATAAATCACTGACTATTGTAATGAAATTTATTTTTTGTTCTATTTCATAGAAATTGTTGGTTTTAATAAAAACATTAACATCTACTAAAATGAGTTTTATACGTTCTTCAATTAATTTTTTAACGTCATTTATACAATGATCTATTTCTTCTGTTTTATCAATATATTCTGATAGAAATATTTTTGCATTTTGCATTCGTCTCAAATTTTTTACTATTGAGTGAATTTCTTGAATTTCGCTCGTATTTCCAATCATAATCGCTTCTATTTTTGTTTCTTCCATTAAAACAAATAGATTGATATTAAGTATTTGTTTAACTTGTGCAAACAAATAGTTTCCTACTTCATTTGATGTTTGGAAGATTTTCATATCATAAACGACATTTTCATATTTGAACGTGTTAATATCTTCTATAACTTGTCTAATACGATCATTAAATCTATTGAGGAATTTATGATAATATTCATAATAAATATCGTTAAACTTTTTACCATATAAAAATCGATCTAAGTTACTTAATGCTTTTATAATCAATAGTTTAAAGATAATTTCAGTATTTTCTAGAGTATTTAAAAATGTCATTTCATTTGATTTATCAATTAGACAATATTCTAATTCACATTCCCAATTTTCAATAATTTTTTGATTTTGAAAACAAGAAAAAACTTGTGGATATTTATTTTTTATTTCAGAAATTTCTTTGAAACGACTTAATAATTTTAAAACTTTATAAAATATATCTTTTCTATTTTCATTTTCGTATTGTTTAATATCTATGAAATATTGTTTCATTTCATATTGAACAACATTACTAAACTCGTTTATGAATTTTTTTAATTTATTGATAACAAGTGTATAATCATTTTCGAACGAGACATTTATTCGTCTACAAACATTCAAATAATGAAAGACTTTTTCAGCTATACTAAAATCTAAGATTGAAATTTTTTCTTCTGAATTGAATGTGTTGTTGATAATAGTTAATACATTTTCTATTTCATTTTTATATTGAGAATTAATATTTTCTATATGTTGAACTATATTCGGAACAATTTCTTCTATAACTCTCATCTCATTGATTTCTGATATTATATTATCTAAAAACTCAATTTTATGCCAATTATCAAGATCTAAATTTGTTTGCATAATAGATTTTTCCAATTCTTTTATATAACGAATAATTTCTATTTTATAATCATCGATTAAATCATAATACATTCTAAATTCATATTTTTCTATCCATCGTGCATTTTTAAAATTCGACAAACATTTCATGATATGATTATAATTTGTTTTTTTATTATGATAAAATCCATTTAATATCTCTTCGATTTCTTTTCTTGATTCTTTTATACAATTGCATATTTGTTCTAATGTACTATAATAACTATGATGAGTTCGCAATTGAATATATGGTATAGTTCGAAGTAAAATCATCTTTTTGAATAATTGTTCTAATTCACGAAATGAACATTTATTCTTAAGTTCTTCTATGATTTGTTTATCAATCTGTTCATAATGATTCATAAGTTTTAATAAAAAATCTTCATAAATTTGATTAATATCTTTTGTTAATATGTTTGATTGTAAAGTAGCTATATTAATAGTTGTGTCAAATATACGTGTACATTCTTCTAAACTTTCAATAATTTCATTTTCATAGTTTTCTTGAGATAGTCTATGACTTAATTTTTCAACTAATTCATGTAAATACTGAAGAAAATATATTTTTATTTCTTCATATTTTCTTGTCATATATTCTCTATCTAGATGATTTTCTAAAATAGTACATGCATCATTTAGTTTGATTATATATCTGATAATATCAGCGATATTTTTCTGAAGCATTGACTTATTGAAAGATTTAACTATGAATTCGTGTTTATTAGAGAATATTTGACAAGCATTTTTATATTTACTATCAATATCTGGAAAATATATAGCAACAAGTTTTATTTTATCTAAACTATTTTTTGTTGATAAATCATCAATATCTTTTTCATGTAAAGATTTAACTATGATATCTATTTGTTGATTAAGATATTGAATAAAAGCACTACTATGAATAACTTCTTTTCCTAAATAGTTACTTCTTAATATATCTGTAAGTTTAGCATGATCAACATAAGTTCGATATTGTTCAATATCATCAATTCTTAAAATTGTTTGATTGATTAAACAATAATTGAATTTTGAAGTGCCGTTTTGATATTCTTCCGAGATATGTTGACTTATATATCGAATACAATCATTGTAAATTTGTTCAATATAATCAAATTCAAGTAAATTATTTAAACGCTTCAATTGATCAAGTTTATATTGTACAAATGGACACTCATAGCGTTTAGTTGCTGACATCACACTTAAGAGAATTTTTCTTATTTGTTCCTGTACAATAGCTTTTGATTTTTCTGTTATAAAATATTGAAAAACTTCATTAGGATAAGAAATAGTAGGAGATTCTACGAGCTCATTGAGAACCTCTTCGGGTTGATCATTGATTGGATCTAAGACTCGTATTGATTTTCTTGCTTTCTGCAACATATCTTTCAAGAAAATCATGAAACCTATATTTGACATTTCTTCATTCAATTTCTCCTTAATATCATTTAAATATGTATGAATTGCTTTTTTTTGACTATCTGGAAATTTTGTAAATATATAGGAGATAGTTTTAATATTGTCTTGAATTCCTGGAATAAGTCCTACGATAACCTGAACAAGTTTCTTCATACTATGACATCTGTCGCCAATACTCTTATTACTAATTATCACAACTGGTTTTACACTTTTACATTCTTTAACGACTCTAATAATACATATTCCATTTGCTATATCGACTTCGGCTCCATAATTATTCTCGAATCCTGGCGTATCACATAGAATGATATCACCATCAGTATGCCCACCAACATTCACTGGAACTGGAGTAATATATCGAGTTTCAGATTGAGTAAACGATGAAGTTGTTATTTTTTTTAGATAAGGATTTCTTACATTGATAGGAATAATATGATCCAATCCGTTCACTTTTTCATGTTTCATTTGAGAACCCGCAAGAAAATGAATTGTTGTTGATTTACCTGATCCAGTTTCTCCCAAAAAAAGAATAATATCTTTCTCTTTTATTAAATGTGATGCATCATCAAATTTTTCAATAAGTCTAAATAATTCTTGCATATTCAATGGACTAATCTGATTGAACAATTTTCTCATTGTTATCAGAGCAACTTGCCAATTTTCATCTTTGACATTGATTAAACATGTTTTTACTAAATCTCGCATTTCTATAGACTGTAATTCTTCTATTTTCAATCGTTCCTTTAAATATGTAAGCTGTTCTGCTATCTCTGTTTCTATCTGATCAGGTATTAATATACTATTATCAGACACTATTACGCGACCGATCAATTTAAGGGAAAATAAATACAATAAATTGATAATGGATCTTTCTGAACAATGTGGCATCGAATGAAAATCATTATACAAGTTTTTTAGATTTTCTATCGTTACTGACGTAGTCAATGTTGAATTACTTCCATCTTCCTCGTTTAAAGAACTACTTGCATTAGAATCGTCGAATGTTCGATCATATGAATGACTCATACCTGTTTTATTTTGTACATTTGTGAATTGAACTTCTTCAGCCGCTTTTAATAAATTTTCTATAGTTAAATTTTTACTTTGTCTTGGATCACTATGTTTTTTAATAGGTCTCCATCGTAAACAAGCAGTATTTGGATAAATTGTAGCTAGCTGATTTAGAATTTTTTCAGGATGAAATTTAGAATTTTCAACTGGATCCAAAAATTGAATCAATTCAATTTGTTTCTCTGTTTTGAATTTCAGTAAGATTCCAGTCCAATGAACACCTTCCACGTTGTAAGGAATCAATATCATACATTGCCCATTTCCTTTCTCTCTTATTTGCATCAATCGCTCTTTCAATTCATCTGGTACATTATTATGGACAGCTTTGAGTGCATAAATTGATATTGTAAAACGTTCAGAAAACTTCTGTTTTAACTCTTCTAATCGATTTGATAAAACAGTATCAATATTTAAGTCCGGATTCGATGAATTTTCAAATGGTGTTGAATCCTCCATTGTTTACAAAGTTTGGTTCTTATTTAAACCAGTTATCTTTTTCTGTTAGACACACTTCAATACAAGCAATATTCAGAAGTAATAAATGGTTCAAGAATATCTAAAATATTATTTAAACAGTAGACTAGTCTTTTTATTATACAGTATTTTCAAAACTCATGCGCAAGATTAACAATGACATGGAACAGACAATAAAGAAATTATGTCTCTAGTCCATGTATTAATTGTTTAATACTAAAATACTGATCTGTCTCTGTAGTCAAAAGTTTTCTCAGTCACTATGATGGACTTGATACTATCAAATATTTCTTTTTCACCATAGAAATTTTAGTTCTTATTTTTACATTTCTTTAAGCACCTTTAACTTCAGGAAATGTCTTGATATGTTTGGATACTCACCTAGTTATAGAACTAACATTGTCCTACGTAAAATCATAGGGAATCCATGCACTTTCTTGTGGTTTTATTTTCGAAAAACTATTGTACCAGCGTATTTTAATGGTTATGCTGAAGCATTCAGCACTTGTTATAGTACTCTATATCAATATTAAATAAGTATTGTCAAACCACAGAAGGTTCACATTAATACCTGCTTCCATGCCTATTCATAGTTTAAAAAAAAAAAAAGGAGTGTCATATTGAACCTTTCTGTTTCTGTACCATGTTCAGAACCTTTTTCATTTCTAGACATATTCGCTAGAACTGGAAAAGATTTTAGTGGCAATGTTTAGAACTTTTATAAGTCCTATGCTTTCTTGTTAGAACTCTCGAAAAAATTGAGAAAATTGTACCAAACTTAGAACCTTAAAAGCTTCAGAATCTTCACTAATATTTTAAAAGATTCTGTATGACACCTTTTTAGAGACCTGCTATTTTCACCATTTGGTGAAAAATAGTGGCGAGTTGGGAGATGGCATATATTAAGTTGTCAACAAAGTTTTTGCGTTTTTTTTTAAATTTCATTTTATTTTTTTACTACAAAAATACAACTAAGTTTCAATAATGTGTGTTCCATTATTATCTATGACTTGTCGCCAATATTCTGGAAGAAAAAGGATCTCGCGCTCATAGAACTTGTGAGACTTTTAGCTGAAGAACTTGCCAAGGTCCATTTTTGCAGTGATGTTCGTCGTCAAAGTTTTTTCCGTGCAAATGATCGACCAGAGAACGGAACAAATGGTAGTTAGTAGAAGCTAAGTCTGTAGAAAATGATGGATGCCGAAGCACAATCCATTCGAAGTCCAGTTCTTTTTCACGTGTTGACTTTGCAACGTGAGATCTGGCGTTGTCATGTAAAAAAAAGCAAATCTTACTCTGCTTTACCTGAATTTTTGCCGCAGCATAACCCAATTGCTACCAGTAGATATCAGCAATATTAATGCTTCCAGTTGGAAGAAGCTCTGAATGAATTTTGTCTCGCCAAGCACTCAACATAACCATCCTTTCGTGAAGCTTCTTTTCTTTTGGCATTGTTATACCGCTTTGTTCAACTCATAACCACTGTCGCTGGTGCATGTGGATAACACACATTACCCACTTTTCATAGCCGATAATAAGATCGTGGAGTCATTCGTAGCTACGGTAAGAAATCAAGAGTTTCCTACATGAGTCTCCATGTGTTGAAGCTGAAGTGATGACAAGCGATGAAGTATTTAAATCCCGTGTTTTCACGTCTTGCCTAATTCCCTTAGATGTTTTTTTCACCGCAGTATGAGAGTATTCAAGCCGCTCTACTAGACAACGTGTAGCTGATCCCAATTCTTCTTCAATGAGCTACTTTAATACGTGCATGTTCATCTCGGAACGAGATAAATCGTCAACTTCGCAGTTTCTGTTCTTGAATCAATCGTACCAATGTTGTGCTGTAAAAATGGAGAGTACATTATTTTCCATCACGCTGCACATGCTGCTTATTGCATCCATCACTTTGCGGCCCAAACGGAATTCATGAAGTAAAAGCAATCGGAGCTTCCTATGAAAAATCTCCGTTTCTAATTAGAAAACTAGCTTCTTTACTCATAGTTCTGTTGTTATTTGCAAGATGCTCATGCTCCCTTTATACATTCTAAGTATGAAAACTTTCTGACGTTTCACGAGTATTTTGAGAGAGGTTAGAAAAAAACGCAAAAAATTTGTCGACAACCTAATATATATGATCACATTTTTTGACTGATATCCAGTCTATATTTTCTATTTGAATCTGAAAATAGTTTTTTAATAAGTTTCTGTTCTCTACATGGATACAGCTCACGAAATACCCGATGTTACCTGTTTTTTTTTACCAAATGTGTATATAACTACATTACAATTCGATCACAACCGAAAATGGATCGATAATATAATAACCAATGGAAATTTTGACATGTCTTTCTCTTCATGTAACTTACTTGTAGAAGAATAAGTGAAATCGAAAATGAAGGCAACATTGTTTTATTTTTATTTTTATTTATATGTCCCTCCACCTTTGCAATAAATGTGCATTATTACTAAAGAGAAAATGACGTTACTGGTATAAAACCCACAAAAAATAATACAGAAAGAAAAGAAAACTTAATAACTTTCTTCAAGAATTTACTTTTAGAACATTAAGTTAATATGGGTTTTCTCCCATTTGCATACTTAATGTTTGACAACCGATCATATTGTAAGAAAAACGACACAAAACAAGCTAGTGAAGGCAAAACAGAATAATGTCTCCTTCACTCTCGTTTCTCTATTTTCTTTATGTAAACTTCCCTTGGACTGTGAAAGAAGAAAAGACATAAGCATGTTACTCAGACCGACCAAAAAGGGTGTGGGTGTGAGTGTCATCAAAGAGAACCTCACTCCCCCACTCACACCCATGCCACGCAATCGAATAAATTACTGTTAGTGACAAACTCTCACTCTTGATGTCTTCTCTACAAGTCGACTTTTTTAGAATTGAATCAAATGTTAGTAAGCGCCATATATCATACTAGCACAACACAGATTTTAACTGAAAATAATACTTGTCAAGCGGTGAAACAACGAAATAGTTTTTCAAGTTAAATTCTATTGAAGAAATAACTTTCGATTTTAAGAATCCTCGTTTTGTTTCGGTCATCTACACAAGAATCCACATTGGAAAGTACAAATAATAGTTCATCGTTCCTTTTTTATTGTCAGGAATTGCACTTGAGATAAATTACCAATCAACACACTAGAAAACGAGAAGATTAGTTAAGATTTATTTTAAGAAAGGCTTTGTTTTCTACTTATTGACCATAGTCACTGCATCGTGATGCTCGTATTTCGAATACAATCATTTTGACATAAGTACAAGTAACGCGACACAAACGTCGCTAACCCTCTACTGAAAGGATGTGATCTCGTTAAACCTATGGTATTCAAGCAGAGAAATATTAGAACTAATATGGTGGTAAACATCTATGAAATAGTAAACTGTTCTCGTCACCAAGACTCTCTTGATAGCCGTCTGAATTTAATCTAACCCACGTATCTTATCGTTTACTGAATTCTGTTTTCAAAACTATTACTGAACACACGCACTTATACGCAAGCACTGTTTATTAGATTATCAAAGGCAATCATTTGGTAAAAAAAGACTAAACCTTTCTATTAAGAGTGTAAAGTAAACTTTAATTGACAACTCACCCTACATCACCGTCGTCCTAACACCGACCATCACTCCCCACCACTCGAATTCGTCTATGATCCGAGTAGTACTTAAAGCGATGCTTCATTTTCTTGTTTGGGACATTTTTAGCATAGCGCAAAAATCTATAAAAATGAATTTCATATTTTCATGTTGACTATGAACTCCGCATAGTGGAAGTAATAAGAAGATTAGTAAATGTAAAGCAATTAGAATCGATATTTTATGTGATGTAGTGAGAGTAGAATTCATAAGAAGGGTGTGGGTGTGGATGTGGATGCTGATCTCTCATTTCCCACCCACACTCACACTCACAGACCCAGACCAGGACCCACTCACAACCACTCACACCCACTCGCCAGTTCTATCATGTAGAAAAGCTTTTTTTTTTAACAGAAAAAGCATAATGATAATAGTGCCATTGTCAGTCGGGACGGATTAGGCGCTGTAGAGTAGAACTTGGGTCGCGAAAATTAAAAAGTGAGCTGATTTCGAAGCCTATCATGGAATGTTTTGACTATTTTCATATCTTTAAATTCCAAGAAAACTAAAACAATCGGTATTTCTCCTTGTATTAATATCAATACCAGATTGAATTTAAGGAATATTTTACTTCTATTCTTCTTCTTTAAATAATCTACCAACACATTTTTGAAACATAGATATACAAATAAATGTGCTCAAAAAGATCAATGCCATATTTTCAGTAGAATAATATTATTTTCTTTAAAAATACTGAACTTACAATTGAATAGTTTCGTCAGTTTCTGCAATCGAGTATACGATTTCTAACTGAAAATAACATCTTACCTAAGAAAATGTTTGAAGAAGTGTCAGATGTTATTTTTTCGAATATGAAAAGGTCATCGATTGTAAATCCAGTGTAAACAATGGATGATTCGTAGTTGATTTGAATTGCCCACCTTAGAGATCAAAACATCATATATATTTTGGTAAGTATAAAAGAATCGACGAACCAGAGAGATATAGAGTTCTGATCTTGGGTATTATCGATCGATCTTCAGTGATAGTTGCAGCAATGTTTGTCAACGGATCCAAAAGTAGAATATCAACTGGTTTCGGTGAATATTTTAATGCCAATTTAATCAATTCAGCTGCTTCAAAAGATGATGGTTGTACGAAAATATTGACCGTTTGATTGAGACAAGTAGGTGCCGTAAGATATGTATCGATCGGTTGTAGTAATGAGTTTGATAAGCTCAAATCAGACGACAATGATGACATATTATTATCTCATAGAGTTACTGCAATATTATATTATGAAAAATCAAAATTAAGAATTACCTTAAGCCATAGGCAACTAGAATACCACTATTACAACTGACTATATCAAGTAATTTAAGAACGTTCGAAGCTTACTAAAATGGTGAGTTTTAAAAGAAAAGAGGAAGCAAATCGTGTACATGTTGATGAAATTTTCAACAACCTGTATCCATTATCGGCAGTTGTTATTGCAAGAATTTCAATCGTTAGTTCCTTGAAATTCAATATTTATAATTGAAAGCGAATATTCTGATGTTTATATTTACATTAAGCAAATAATAAATGGCCCATAAATCATCAACATCAATATCGATCAACACTGGTTGATGGTTGTTACTAGATTTCATACAATCTTGAACATTTTTGTTTGTGGTCGTGATTCAATGTCATTTATACAAAAACTGGTCGTGATAAACAATACAAATGTTATACTTTACCTTTTCTCTTCTTGACTATATTCCTTGTTAATTTTTTTTTGTATCCAAACATGTCAGAGGTGCTTTACATTTGCAGCTAGATTGCAGCAATCGGTGGCATCTAGATGGGATTCGAAATTAAATCGCATTCAGACGCAGTTTTAGTTTGAACCGTGTCTACAGGCAAAAAAAAGTATCACTAGAGACGTGATTTCAAACCAAATCGTGTCCAAACGCGGTGCATATGGGTTTCTAAGTGTGCTTTGATGTGCGTATTCTGAGTTTGATGTTTATATGGACTTTATTATTTTTAAATGAGCATTCAATGAAAAGGAATGATGTTCTAATTTTTTCTGGAATTATGATATTTCGTTTCAAAGTCACTACTTAATCGTCTTTCCAAGAGGAAATGTTTATAATCCATTTGTTCTTTGTCTTGTCAACTGTACAAGATCGTATGTAGAAGTTAAAATCGGCGTTAAGTAGCGTTTCTTCTTCATCAGGATAATCTGAGAATGGTACTACATCGTTTCCACTCATTGAACTAGTATGAATGATGAAAAGAACATTACCAAATTGTTCAGCTTTCGTTCGATTTCGGCTTGTTGATGTAAATGCCGGAAACATGAGATATGCACCAATGTTCTGACGAAATTTTTCGATTAAATCATCGGATAAATTAGCTCCTCGATAAACGTAAAATTTGTTATAGTTTTCCGAATATGTCAACATCTGAAGGAGATAACCGAAAGGCCCAAATGTTTTTACTTTACTTTTCCAAAGGGCTTTATTCTTTTCATCACCACAAAGTCTCATATATTCATTCATTTTCTGATATAAAAATGATTCCATTGTGTAGAGATGAGCACAGCATTCCCAGACTTGTTGATCAGTTCCATCTATGACATTCAGAAGCTGTTGAGCCATCCATTCCGCTTCTTTCTGCTTGCCCAGAAGCTTACCTTCAGTGATGATACCTTCGGCTGCCTTCTTTATCATTAGTCGGCGATTAGCTGGTTCTGCTAGGGTATCGCTGCCATTAACGCCAAACATTTCGAAAATTTCGCCAATAAAACCCAAAAAAAATTTCTGTTCGGCAAAAGGTGTCGAAGGATAAATAGGGCTGGGCATGAATCTTGCTTCTCTGAGTCTTGGCTCAGATGTCGATCTGCCTCTTTCAACACGTTTGACAGGTCGTTGATTGTGTTCATTTGAATTTGATATTTGAACAGAATTTTTAAAATTTATGTGATAATCATCGATTAGAGCTTCTGACAATTTCTTTTGATATGCTTCTTCAACGATGGCCGTTTCAACATCAGAATAGGAACACCATTCTTCTTTTTGTGACGAATTCCAAGGATGTTCATTAGATTTCCACATCCATTCTATGCGAGTTGACGACGACATGTATGTTAAAGTTACTGTAAAAGTTTTTATGATTGTTGCCTCTGTAACTGTAATGTGAATGTGTGAATAGAGAAATGAATGTAAGAGTCGTTACCAATGCTCCTGCTCGTTCTTTGGTTGAATCCATAACGACTAAAAGGAAGAGGTAATGATGAAGAAAAAGTATGAGAAAAAAAAAAAGACAAATTTAAAATTGTTTACTGCATTTAGTATTCTGTTCGTTTTATGCTCACCAGCTGCTATGCCTAACACCGCCTCCTACTTTTGTAGTCATGTGAATGTTAGTTACCCATCATCATCTCAAAACGACGTAGGCAAAAAAAATAATTTGTTTAACATCTCAATAAGTATCTTTTTTCAGGCATGCTTGGTGCTTGTTTTTAAATTTTATAGGGAAAACTTGCTTTTTTTCAGACTTGTGCTAAAAATAACTGATATGTCAAGTCTCTGGCAAGTCTTTTCATAGGGTGTGGGTGTGTGTGGGTGTGGGTACTGGTCTTCTCTTCATCCATATAAACACCCACACCCAAAATTGATAAGTTATCGTTGCAGATGTTCTCGTAAATTTCTCTCCCCGAAGGTATCCCGAGTGGTGAGGAAAGTTAAGAGTATGATAGATTTTACTAGAAAGATTGAAAGAGATGTTCTAATTCTTCACTTCCCAAAAATGTAACTACGTAGACATACTTGGTCGAAATATGTGTGAAATTTTTGTTTTAGTCATAATTTTGAAAGTATTTTCTTATTTACTAAGAAAATGTCTTACTAAATGGTAAAATAACTTTTGATTGTCTGACATTCATCAATAGGAAAAAAAGCAGTAACTTTCTACATCTATAGATTAAGTATTTTATCTAAGATTAATATAATTCTCGGCTAATCAGAAACACTCTATCACACATTATAAATAAAAGTTTTAAGTGTGGCTATATATATGAGTGTAGATAGTATTAATGAATAACGAAAACATCGTCAATCGCATTCAGACTCATACATCAACATTTATGCTCATACTTAAATACACGTGTAACTATACGATGGATAGATAATAGATGATATGTGTTCAAGTGCTAGATCTTGGTATCCATTATCAGAGAGAAACAGAAAGAGTTGAACTTTACAAGTAATTCTTGTTGAGACATGATTACTGTTTTGAGTGATATCTGATATTTGATATACAAATATAAATTGATGAACGTTGTTCGGTGCTATTTGGAGTAGAGCTAGAGCAAGTCTTTGTGTGATTTAAATGTTCTCAGTGTAGATAAAAGAGATATGCTTGAAGAAGACTTGATATTGATTAACAATGGAATATTATGACTGAATGCAAATGCTAAGACGAGAGAATTGTTTATTCTCTGTTGAGTTTAAGGTGAAATCTAATTAAATTAAGAATAGATCAGTTAAACCTATCGATTTATAAAGACAAATGCTTTTCATATACAAAGGAATATTTGAGTAAAACTCGTAGAGATTATGCTAAAAGAACTTTTGATAAGAAATTTATATTATTTTAATTTTTTTTGACATTTTGAATAATTGTTCCATTGCATCAGTGTGATATGTTTCGTTCCTAATGTCTGAGAAATCAAGTTGAGTATCAACTATATCATATGTTATGAATGATATAATATTTTCTGTATAAGATTCAACATTAGGTATGTTTCAAAATGTATGAGAATTACTGGAAACAATTTCAAGTAGAAAAAAAAAAAACTAGAATTTTTCTGTTGATTCATTGTGAAAACTACGATAAAAAAAGAAATAACAGATGTTATTTATTAAAGACGTATCATTTTACTGTATTGCTCAATGCCTATTCGATAAAATTGCATAGAGACAAAATAGAGTAGTTCACACACACTAGACTAAATAATTGCTTCTCATAAATATATCCAGCTTATTCAAAAAAAAAATTGTTAGAATTCTGTTGGCAGACCTGTTTCAAGGTATGATTCTCTCAAAAGCTTGATATAATGAAATAATTTATTCTGTCGAATGAATATTACTGCTTTGAAGAACAATTATGGCAAACAAGAAAAAGATCGAGTATCTAATTTCATTTTTATAATGGTAAATAAATCTAATAGGAATATATATATACTACTATTGCTTTTATAAGTTTATATATCTTTATTTATTCTTATTTTAGAAATGATAAATTTATATCATTTGATAATCAAATTTTTTACTTCTCTACGAAAAGATCGTGTTGTGGATATAGAAACGAGTAGCTGTCTAATTCGAGTTTGAAAATAAATGAAAAAATAATGATTTTCATTTCTTGATATCCGAAAAACAAAATAAAAACTTTCCTTCACAGACACTCCTGTGAATATAGGAAAATCTGGCATGTGAACGCTATGTTACAAAAAAGTAGGAATAGGGAGGATTTTCATTGACAATTTTTAGGAGGATCTGGCATGGAAAAGGAGGAAAAAAGGAGGATTTCTGTTTTCTCGTGAAAAAAGATATTCTAGCCTAATTCAAGCTCATCAATACTTTGAAAAGAGTAATAAAACATTTAATACTATTTCAAGAAATATTTATTTATAAATTTCAAATAANTCAGGTGTTGAATAGATTCCCCTTCCAAATTTGAATCGATCGCATCTACTAAGTTTGAAACCTTCGTCAGCAATACTCATTGCATTTATTTGACCCGTTCCGTGGTAAGACACTGGCCATTCTTCGGGGTTGGTACCCGTCTTCCCAAGCCATTTATTGTCAGTGCCATATTTTCCAGCAACATTGAGAGCTATCCTCTTGCAACCGCAGGGTCTTTCGTAGACATAATTACCTCGAGTGAATACTTTTCCACTATCATCGATATTTGTAAAATCATAATCAAACTTAGGTGCCAGGATCGCCGGGTCGAGAGCAAGAGGACCACTTAGCATGATTTTGACGCGTAAAGATCCATTCCAGCCAAAAAGACAATCAAAAATGACTGCGTTATCAGGGAGTTCATTGTCATCTTTGAGAATCACTTGACACTGTGGTTCGATACCTTCACGAGTTTGTATTAGTTTTTTCAATCCACTAATGCGATCTTCAACGACTAGATCTAGCTCCAATACTTTTTCTGAGGGAAGAATAATACGAGTTTTGCGTTTTACTTGTGGACCAATAGCAAATTCAATAATTTGACCCGCTTCCAGATCATAGGTCGATAACAGACGACCTTTGTCTGCAAGTTCAACATGTGATACCAATATGTTTAGTCTCACACGATAAGGCAAAACATTGAGTTTTTGTGACAAAGTATCCATTACTGTTTGAACAGACATCGACGGTGAAATTGAAGTATGATATCTTTCATTGGGTGATGAAACATTTCTCAAAAATAAATATGGTGTATTAATGGAGATTTGGATGATGCTTCCATTAACTATTTCTATCTGATCATTTACCGTTTGTGCATCATGTTCATTGAAAAGATGTTGTGACGTTTTCTGAAGGATGTTCGTAGACAAGCAGCTGCTATTCCGCTTATGTGCATCACATTGAAGTCGTAATTGTTGAGCTTGTATGGCATAACCGAAATTCTGTTCGATCACTTTCTTCAAATTTGAAGTTGTACAATGCCCGTCGATCAAAAGTGGTTCACGAGTCTTATTTGGAAGTTCGATGCAGATTAGAGTAGTACTACCTCTAGCATCGACTGTATATGCAGCATTTGATTTTAAATTTGGGAATGTCAATTGATTGTTTGTTTGAAATTCGTTATTCATGAACAACACTTGGTATTTTACAGGTATCTGTAGCCCTTCTTGAATGAGTCGTTTTATCGTACTAACTGAATTGTGGTCGGTGATTCGGATGTGGGTCTTATTATTGGTCGATTGTAAAGATAGTACATATTCCCGTTGGACGACTATAATGGAACCATTGCTGATGAGATGACTGTAATCAGAGACTAAGTTTTGATTTTCTAGAGGATGCGCTCCACATGTTAATCGAAATTGAATCTTACTAATACCAAGAATCTGTGAGACTTTATCTGCAACGAAACTTATAGGCCACGGGGCAAACAAAATCATATCCGTATCGGTCTTGTTAGCTAATTGTAATTTAACTTGGATCGGTGGTACTAGTGTAAGTATACTGTTGTATTCATCTTCAGTGTCTAACAAGAATTCATCTTTACACTCCACAAGGCACTGTTCTCTGATTGGAATACCCATTACTTGTTCAATCTCTTTTTTCAACTCGAGAATAGATATATTCGAAGCGCACTTAATTTTTTCTTCCTTGCCTGATGGGCACTGAATTACAACAGTTCGCATAGTTTTCTTTTTTTCGGATTGGATTCTAAGTACGAGATGGAGTGTTGATTCCTTTTGAACATTATAATATTCCAATGTACGTTCATCTTCAAGCTGTTTACCAGCAAAAATTAGTCGTTGTTGATCGGGTGGAATGCCTGTTTTATCTTGAATTTTTGCTTTAACATTTTCAATGGTATCACTCGGTTCCACTTCCAATGTGATAATTTTCCCAGTGAGAGTTTTGACAAAAATTTGCATGCCTCCACGAAGTCTAAGTATGAGATGGACGTTTGATTCATCTTGTATATCATAATCTTCCAATGTACGTCCATCTTTAAGCTGTTTACCAGCAAAAATTAGTCTTTGTTGATCGAGTGGAATTCCTTCTTTATCTTGAATTTTTTTTTTTACATCTTCGACTGTATCAGAGGAGTTGGCATCCACAGTTATTTTTTTGCCTGTCTGGCTTATCACGTGCAATTTTCCAATAGTAGAGCTTGTTGGAACGATACATGGATATAGTGTGAGCACATCCACGATCACTGGTGGCGCGGAGAGGTTTTTCGACGTAATACCGAACAATGCTGAGAAAGCTGCCGTTGCTAGATCAAGGTTTGATGACACAGACATACTTTCTAATTTGCTACGAATAAGAGAACAACCAATTGAATGGGTGTGGATGTGGGTGTGGGTGAGGATGTAGGTGTGGCTGGGTGTGGGTTGGATGTGGGTTGGGTGTGGGTGTCGGGTGTGGGTTAGGCATGCACCAGACCTAAATACAGTGAAACCCAAATCCTGGATTTGACAGGATTTGACGAGATTTGAATTTGGGTTTGACTGGATTTGACTTGGATTTGGGTTTGCGTTTGACCAGATTTTACTGGGGTCTGACAGGGCCCTACCATACGTAGGTATCCTAGGGCTATCAAGTCCTATTTTTGAAAAAGAATTTTTTTTCTGTGCAAAAATAGACTTTGTGAGAAAAAAAAATTTTTGGAAACACCTGAAATTTTAATGAAAACAAATTTTTTGTTTCGACTAAATTTATTTTTTCTCAAAAAGTCTATTTCTGCATAGAAAAAATGTTTTTCAAAAAAAGGACTTGATGACCCTAGGATATAACTGTTAAAGAATAGAAAAGGAGTATATGTAACTATACAATACTGAATTTTACTTCCTTTGACTTTCGATGATTAATATCATTCAGAAAAATAAATGATATGCTTCGTTCGGGAATCGAACCCACGATATGATTACTGGTTATCCGGACCAGTGCTCTAACCATTGAGCTATCAAAGGACGACTAGCGTATCATTTTTATTTTCTGAATGATATTAATCATCGAAAGTCAAAGGAAGTAAAATTCAGTATTGTATAGTTTCTTTGTCATTGTGTTCGACCAGGAACATTTGGTAAACATTGCGAGTATACATTATTAGATGCGAATGAATCTTTCAATGATGCAATTATTGCACAATTTAAACAGAAAAAAATCGATCCATGGGATTCTCAAGAATATGGTGATATTCTTTGTTATGAAACGTTATCGGGTAATTTTGAACTTCTATGTTTGGATTGGCGAAATATATGTGATGACGCACAACAATGTTTAGATGGAAAAGATGAAGAAAATTGCGACAAATTAGAATTTAACGAATATGAAAAGAATGAGTATCGCTGTATGAATGATATATGCATTCCCGAAGAATATTGGCTTGATGGTGAGTGACAAATCTATTGTATTTAGTTTCATTTCTTCACTGAATATGATCAAAATCAGGAATGGATTCGATTTTAAGAGATCTTGATCAGATTCGAAACTATTGATCGAGAAAGAAAGATTGTTTTCGCTTGATTCATATACGTAACTAATGTTCTCATTTAACTTTTGAAAATATGTATAAATCAATTCTATTATTTCAATCTGTTTTAATCGACTATTTACTCAGATTGTATTTATATATTGCCAGAAAAATATTCCTTTGTTTTTCTTTTAAGAGAAATTGATTGTGTGGATGAGAGTGACGAGAGATTAATTTCGATACATCAGGTTTGTTTCCATGAACGACGTAGTTTTGATTGTAATGATCGATTTTGTGTAAAATACAATTGGTCATGTAGTGATGATCAATGTATTACTCCTTGGAATCGTTTCGGCTATCAGGCATATCTGCCAACAGATATGTATTGTCAAAGTCAACGTGATGTAAATCATATGCGTGAGGCAAATTCACGATGGCATCTATGAACATTACCGAAAAGTGTAGTCACTGTTGCGAAGAGATTAAGAACTTTTCGATTATTATACGATCAGTCTTAGGTTTTTTTCATTCTGCATGCTCCATAATTATTTGGATATGCTTATAAGTATAAGTGTGTGGGTCTGATGATGAAAAGTGAGAAAATGGTAGTTATACGCATGTGCTTATCAGGCGCATTCTGATGCAAAGATTATTTTCCTACGTTTATTACGTTGAAATTGCTCCCACTGAACTACCTGAATAAAGACAAATCGCAAACCAACCGCGTTTTCTGTAATATTGGTATTGGACTAAAAAGACACATAGTGACTAAATGTCGTTATAGTTTAATATTCATTGGATAAGAAAACTCGATAGAAATACCTCTTGTAAAGATTACAATACTTCTTTCAAACATTTTGCTTTGAATTCAGTCTGTGATATGTGCCCTAAAGGTCTGAAATCAGTCCGACCTGTTCTTCGCTAATTCAACAAGCTATTCGATTAGGATTCGACAACTATAGATAGTGCCACTGTTTGAAATAAAAAAAAAAGAATGATTTAACAACATTTTATCTAGTGGCATTGTTCATTGAGTGTCTCATTCAGTGTGAAAGAAGCAATTTAGTTTTTTGTGTTTTTCAGTTTTCTTCTTATTTGAATATTTTCTTTGTTTCAGAGAAATTCAAATCAATAAAAAAACAAACTATGAAGTTTTGAAGGATAATAATAAAATGTCTCTGAAGATCATTCTGTCTGAACTTTCATTAGATTGATTGATTAAAAAAAAACAGCTGTTCATGGTTAAGCTCTATCCAACAAAGTCTTCAAACTCAGCTGGCTTTGTTCTAGTGAAATCCGTACGCAATCTAAATAATATTGACTTTGCTTTTATATCTGCTATGGAATACCTTTTCAAAAATTACACTGAAGAGAGCTCAATGAACAAACAAAGACAAAACCCGAAAACTTTCCAAATCATAAGGTACCTAAAAATCAATTTTATATTATTACACAGTAGCTTAGTGTTTGTTCTATATCATTATGGCAGCACATGACAATATAACTAGATGCAGATGATGATTCATTGCAAACTGATATTTGCTTCTTAAATTCACATTTATTGTAAAGTCAACTGACTCACTAAGTGACACTTCAGCACCCTCCTTCTTGGTTTTAGGTTTTTTAATATAATCATGAATTCAATAAAAAGTTTTCTTTGTGATTTGAAGTATTATTCAATGAGTAATGTTTAGTACACATAAAAGCAAAAATTATTTATGCGTTGCTATATTTCGAGCACTGTTTCGTCCTCTTTTAAATAGTTGTTTTACATGGGTATGGGAGTCAGTGTAAGAGAAGGAAATATAAAGACTTGCGCCCACATATTTTGATTGCTAGGAGTTTGAATTTCTAAAATGTTTCAGATTGTTCGTAAAACTCTGATATTAGATGAGCAAGTGCTGGTGGAACCATCGCAAAAGAATGTTTCTTCTTACAGCGTAGATAACGTCTTTTATGGAACAATCTCTTGTATTTTGGTCTATGTTTTCGCTTACGAGCATCATATAATAACTGTGTAAACGATAAAATTTGTTTGAAAGACATTAGATCTTGATCATTTTCATCGCCAGCAAGTGTCTCTTGCTCCTCTATGCATCGTCGTATATATTCTATACCATATTTGACATTATTCATTTGGAAATAAGTTTGGCTAATATTATAAAGTGTCGATACTAAATTAGAACTATCATTATTATCGGCAATTATTAAACATTTTTTGTAATAAAATAAAGCCATTTGAAAATCATGTTTGTCGTAATAAACATTGGCAATAATACCAAAAATGTTTTCTAATTGAGAATCATTTTCAGTCGCTTTTAGCTTTTCATACAGTTCTAGAGCGATTAATAGATGCTTCAATGAAACTTCTGAATTTTGTTTCTGATGATAAATTACTCCCATAACTTCATGTATTTTAGCAATTTCTATATTGTTTTCTGATGTTTTTAGTAGTTCTAACGCCTGTAAATAATGTTCAAGTGCTTTATCATAATTATTCTGCTTAAAAAACGATTTTGCGATGCAACTATTAATACCACTAATGAGAGTACTATTTTCTGGATCAGTTTTTCTTTTGATTTCCAACGCTTCTGAATAATGTAGTAGACTTTCATTATAATTGTCTTGATCCAAATAAATTGTGCCAATATTGGTCAAGACATTGGCTAATTCATCTTCTTCTATAGTAGAACGTCTCAAAATTTCTAAGCTATTTTTGTAAGAAATTAATGCATTCGTATTATCGTGTTGTAATATGTAAGCATGACCAAGTTGAATGTAACATCTTGCAATATTTGGATCATTAGATGATAATTTAAGAGCATTTCTTGAATGTAATACAGATTGGTCAAATTGACCAAGTTTGAGATAAATCTGTCCCAATGCTATTTCTAATTCCTCATCTTCAAATTCATTTAGCTCAGAACAAATCACATTTAAAGCCTCTTGATATTTTTTCTGCATGTAAACCAAGTAAAAAAGTTTTTTTCGCATACAATTGCTATCAAAATCATTTGATGAGGTCTCGTTTTCAAATGAAAGTCTTAATTTTGTTGAATAAAACGATGCTTTACTAGATTCACCACTATCGTTACAAATCTGAATAATATTTTCCAAAATCTTCTTCATTTCAGGATGTTTAGATGATAATATTTTTCGTAGAACATCGTAACTATTAATTGCATAATCCAAAGCTCTTGAATAATCGCCTTCGATTTGATAAATTAATGAAATCTCTTTCAAGCATTCGGCAACATCTAAATGTTCAATTGAATGACATTTGTTGAGTATTTTCAATGATTGCTCGTAATATTCTAAAGCATCTTTGTATTTCTTATCGCTGAAGAACGCTTTACCAATTGTTCGCAAAAAAGAAGCAACTTGCGGGTGTTCACTAGAATAAACTTCTTTGACAGTTTCTAGTATAGAAAATAAATCACTTAAAGAATATGCTTCTTCTTCCCTTTCATTTCGAATATCCGAATGAAAATATTCCATGGTGATCCAGTCTTTTTTTGTGGTTGTTTCATAACTAATTAGTGATTGCTCATAGTATCGAATAGCATCGCATATATTGTCTTTTTTCTCGTAAATTTCTGCAATATTGGCATGAATATGCGCGTATAATATATGTTGTGTAGTTGATAATTCGAATTCATTGTAGTTTTCTAAACATTGAAAGAACCACGTTAATGCATCTTCATATTGATGATTTGACATATGGACAAGACCTATATTGTTCATACATTGAGTAATTAAAAGATGTTTAGCAGGATAAATCTTTTTTAACATATCCAATGCATTAATATATGATTTGATAGCTAAATCATTGTTATCTTGTAATTTGTGTATGTTGCCAATGTTCAGTAGTAAACCTGCTTTGTCTGGATGATTGTCGGGCAATGTTTTTGAATAAACTTCATTTGTTTGATGGAATTTAGTTAAAGCTTCATTATAAGAACCTCGTTTTTCATAAATAAGCCCAATATTTTGTAAACAAATTCCTATCTGTGGAATATCACTATTAGATGTAACCATTTCATATACATTCAAAGCCTTAGTATAATTAATCAGTGCTTCATCAGGATTATCCGTATTGAAATAAATATTAGCAATAGCGACTGAAATTCTAGCCATTTCGTATAGCATATTTTGAGCTTCGTCGATGTCGAGCAAATCCTTAGGTACAGACGCCATCGGCAATAATATTTCTTCATATCGATTGTATGCGCTTTGTAAATAATACACTGCCCGATCGTATTCACCTTTAAGAGTATGAACCATGCCAAGACTATAACGACGTTGAGGTGTATCTTCCGTTGATAGAAGATTCTGAAAGTACTTCTCTGCTTTTTGGTATTCACCCATATCATATAGAAATTCACCGAATAAAATATTGATATCAAACTCTTCCATATCTCCACGTTTGAAAAGTATATAATCGTTTAATATTTTGTCTCCATCGTTTGATGCGGTCATCACAATAGTCCACTTCGATGGTATTTGTACATCATCTTCTGTGATAGAATTAATCTCAAATATACTACCTAAATCAAACAGTACTTCTAATTCATCTGGCATCATACTTTCAGCAGCAATATCGGCAACGATTATTTTGTTCTCATTGATATCTATATTAATAATAAACAGAACCGGTTCAGTTATGTCTGTTGTTGACTGATAGCATGCATCCCAGCCTGCATAAAATTTTGCCACGTCAAGAGAGCGAGTAACCGATAGAAAACCATTTGTTGACATTAAATTTCCTTCATTCACTTTTAACTTTAACAATTGATTTCGATCTAATCGTAGTCCACGATACAACGTTACACTTGGCATTTCTAGTTGAATTTGAAGTTCTTTGAATTCTTTATATTTGTTCTTTAAGTCTAAACACAGATCTTCAATGTAATAACGTAATATGTATAATGCGTCGACATCCTCAGTTCTCAATGCTTGATTGATTAGTTTATAAACAAACATGTCTTTAGTATACCATCTAACAGCATCTAACGACTGATATTGTGTCTCAAACTCGTCAATATGTTTTAATTCATGCGTATTTCCCCGATAGTAATCACGACATTTTTCTATCATTCTTATCTTCCAATCATTGGTTCTGGGCATTTTCCATAAAGTATCCTTTAATAATTGATGCCATAAAAATCGAATTGAATCATTTGTTAAATTACGCATTGATTGCTGCTTCTGATTGAACAATGTAAACGCAGCAATGTGTCTTCTAACATGATCTAATGTCTTTCTAATATTATAACATAACTCATATTGTGTATTAAAAATACCAACAATTTTAGAATGATGTTGATTTGTAAGTAGTGGTTCATAAGTTTGTTGTTCAAGACAAAATATAAATATTGAATCAATCTGCTTGTGAGCGTGAAGTTTTTGAAAAATAGTAGTACTTGTTGCTTCCACACCCGAAATAACAAGAAAAAATATTTCCTGTGAATTTGTATCAATGAATTTGATCAAGCTATCGAAATTAGAATGAAAAGTGGTATTAATTGTGATCTCTTGAAGCATCTGCTTTGTTTCACATATATCTTCATCGTCCTGTAAACATGTGTTTTTATCAAATCATAATAATGAAATTTTAACATCATTGGATATAATTTTATTATCGTTATATTGTTGTGTATTGTTCAATAGTGGAATATTCGTCCGGAATGTCTTCAAAGACATTGAAGTGCGCGTTTTTTTGTTTGAAGAAAACTGAATTTGAAAGACAAACAGATATTGCTATTGTACATAAGCATTTTAAAATAGTATTGATGTATTTTTCTTTAAAATAAGTTATTTTCTTATCTTTGGTTCAAGAGACGTGAAAATGGAAGCAAACTTTGTTTTAAGTACAGTGTAAAGAGGACATAAAAGTAAATAAAAGGAACCCTATCTCTATCGAAATTCATCGTTGAATGTTTTTGTTTGATCACAGCGAACTTATTTTTAATGAATTTTCAAAAGGTCAAAATGTAAGTCGACATACTTATCGAAATGTACGGTATTGTCTTGATAAGTAACAAAACAACGTTATCAGTTTTTTGAACAAAAGCAATTTCGATCACACACGTTACTCATAATTGCTGTGTTTTTAAAAGAAAAGATTCAAAAAATGTTCGCATGAATAAAAGAACAAATTATACCATACCTTATGTAGGTAACGACATTGTATGTTGGCTTTTTCCAAGCTACTCTTTCCTTTCTCTTTCTTGTTTATGTGTCGACAGCGCAATTTTGTGCATTGTATTTCACATTGCAATTTTTATTTCTCTGATTGTAAATATTTTTTTGATCACGCGCCTTCTCATTCTTCTACAGGGTTACATAAATTTCGGCCCGGACTTTCGGTCTGGTCCGAAACTCCGGTCATTTTTCCGGCCGGTCGAAGTTTCCTGTGGATTTTCGGCCAGTGATCTCATTGACCCCTAAAATAAAAAAACTAATTTTTTAAAATTACTTGCTAGATATGGCAGCTCTGAGCAGGACGTCATAGTACCGAGCGGTATGACGTAGTGCTGAGCAGGGATGAGGTTTGGAGATGTGGGTGTGGGTGTGGATCCATACAGTAGAAAAATGCACATCTATACCCACACCCATACCCTTTACCTCAAATTATCTTCTGTTTAACATTTGCTTGTACAGAATTGAATATATGGCAACGACGCATTCTTCTTGCTGTCTATCTTCTATCCTATAGTCCACAAATTCTTGGATTTATTCTTTTTCTTTTCCCATCGACTGTATACAAGCAGGAATTCAGTGAAACACGTATCGCTCGAAATTTGTTCAAATGGGCATTTCCAGCCTACAACACAACAACGATAACTTACTATTAATATACCAATTTTCAATACAATCCCTACGCGACTAAAATATGAAACACGATTGAGTCGAGTTAATCTTGAACGAACTTCCTGGCAAATTTATCACGCTATGTGATGAATTCTCTATACTTGAATACTCATGAACAATTGTGTTTTACAACATCAATGTAAAATTCAAAATAATAACAATAAATTGAATGCTTTTTTCTCACTCAACATGATTATAATATTTATGGAAAATTAGTTTTTCTGAGGATGTTTTAAATCCGTATGAATAATTGTGAAGAAATCCAATAGCATTTTTTTGCAAAATGGTATTATATTTTCCCTCGACTGAAGCGAGTCATATGAAATAAAGGAAGTTTGAGTGCATGTGTGCTAGCACATATATAGTCACGTGTTCACAATTGTCTGCGAAAGTACAGAGTAACTATCCACAGTCATGCAGAACTTATTTTCTCTTTCACTTTACACCCCACCAAGCTTCTTCGTGCTAGGAGTTCGCCCAATCCTATGCTTTTGCGATAGATCATTTGTTCAATCAAGTTTTTTTAGCATGTGAGTGTGAATGGTTGTGGGTGTATGTGTGTAGAAAGGACCCATATCTACCCCCACTCAAACCCACATCCAACCCTGCCTCCTGTACAATAGCTCCTCTTGGCAGCTTCTTAATTTCTCTAACTCGATAAATTTAGAATATAGATACAAGACAACTTCGGTAACATTTCATACGAGATGTAGATACATTTCCCTCATGACAATAAAGGAATTCTCTTTTTTTCGGTATGAATGGAATAAAATCAAGATTTTCTTATTTGTTTCGGTCTCTGGTATCCATCCACAGTTTAGGCCTTTACCACGCACACACATCCACATGCCAGCCTAAATAGCGTACAATGGGAAAAAAATCACGAAGAGAAAGGGTAACAAAAAAGAACTGAAAATTCTAGTATTGTCGATAAAAGGCAATATGTTATCTGAAAATGTCTGATTAGTGTCTTTGCTCAAAGCTGTACAAAATAATAAAAGGTGGTTCAAAAGTTTCGATCCCTCTCAGCAAATCGATGATATCTACAGCAAACTTATATGAAGTTATTGATTAAATTATGTCATTTTGTAGAGAAAGATTAGAGCTATCATCTGAAAAAATCCAGTTCAAAATACATAAACTTATTACAATGTTGTAGTCACTTTACTGATCTTGAGTGAAAATTTTTACGTTATATTTTTTGAAAAAACAAAATGTGCTTGTAACATCCTAAACGACATATTGTTATCGAGAAATTTTTACATGTTTCGATAGAGTTCGATAAGCTCCACGAGAATATTAATGTTTAAGAAAGTTCTGATCTTATTTTCAATATAAAACTTGAAGGAAATCAGAAAGACTAATAAAAATTTCATATATCAAATAAACGAGAGAGTAAGTTGAGCTGCAAATACCTTTAGCTGGTTGACTGTTCCATCTGCTCATGTAGCTCGGCAGAGCTATTTTCAGCTTCAGTGTGTGATGCTGCATCTCAAAACATCAATTAACAATCGATCAACTAAAGTTATTGAAAGTTAAGCATACCATCTCATGCAACATATCTGAAATTTTTATTGATCTGCGTGGTTTCTTCCGAGAATTTATATTGAAAAAAGGATTCGAATTTTTCTTGATATTCATATTCTTGTAGAACTTGGAGAACTCTATCGAATCATATAAAAATACCTATTAAAACCACGTAGAAAATAATATTTCGGTCGACTTGAACAACTCAAACATTGAAGATCTTTTTTTGTTTTTTCAAAAAATGTAACGTAAAAATTTTCACTCAAAGTTAGTAAAATGACTGTAACATTGTAATAAATTTATGCATTTCAAACTGGATTTTTTCAAATGATAGCTCTAATCTTTCTACACAAAACGACATAATTTGATCAATAACTTCATATAAGTTTGCTGTAGATATCATCGATTTCCTGAGAGGAATCGAAACTTTTGAACCACCCTTTACGTATGAAATGATGTTCTTTTATTTTTTTTGACACGAGTTTATTAGTTAGAATCCAGTCAAATGTTTGAGTACTGCTTTTAGCAAGAACAGTATTGCTTCGAATAGAGAGAATTTCGTAGTTTTACAATTTAAATGGAACAAAAAAAAAAAAGAATAACAATGATTATTTAATGTAATATTTGTGTAAAACATTCTGTTGTCGGCAGTAAATATGTCTACTTTTTCTCTTTTATACTAATGTTTTTTTTTCTTTTGTGCTACTTTCAATATTTCCACAAATGGGTTTGTTTGCCTTGTCGTTGTAATACGTCATACTGTGTCGGCTTCTGGTCGCTGCAGTTTTTATTATTAACAAAAAGAAAATAGTTATTTTTCTTTCTCTTCCTCTTCAATCTCTATTTTACATAACATGCCGCCAACTGCGAACTAACCTTCATCATGTATGCCACTGTAAACTGTCGACGAGTCTCTTCATGTAATTGACTTCTCCCTTTTCTGCACTGCAATATTTTATTCAGCTGTCGTCTTGAGTTGTTCCTGCAGAAAAAACATTCGTAACGATATAAAATGAATAGTAGAATGTTCTTTTTATTGCAGACTAAAAATGATTTAATCTTTCTGGAAACTTTTACTTATTTGAAATCCATTTTGAATTGATTCTAGATATGACTACAAGGATGAATGTGAAAAGAATAGATGCAGATCGATCTTTATCGATGATTCTTAAACGGCAATCACAATTATATGATCTTCACACTCATTTGCTTGGCATGGGTAATGCATTCTTTTGGATTGACACTATCTTGATGGATGATGAGTATATTATGCCGACGAATGACACTTTTCGTACGAGCAAAAACAAGCGTCATGAATTGTGTCCTCTTGTTTGGGATCAGAGTAACAATAGTGGTTTTGTGGATGGGAAAGAAGCAGCGAACTTTTTCTATTATATAACCAACGAAATTATTCTGCCAAATAAAGAAAAAAATTTCGACTATATGATGGAAGAGATTAGGCAGAAGAATTTCTCGTCGGTACTTGATAATCTTATTAAAGAAGAGTTTTATGATGAATTATTAGATCGAAATTTGACTTTTAAAAACGACTTTTCATACGATGTTGTGTTGACATTATCTGATTTGAGCAAAAGTCTTGGAGTGAAAGAAGCGAATTGTGATGATATTAAACAATTGAATGTTACTGAAAAATTGGGCATCTATCCACCACTGAAAATCAATTTTCGCGATTGGATTATCTTTAATGCACGTAAACAAGAATTGGAAATTGTTTATGGTATTCTAGTTGAAGAATTGCGTCATCTAATCAAATGTGATCCAAATAAGCCGAGCAAAGCGAAAGAATTAGCACGCTCATATATTATTAACGCTTTTTCAATGTGCGATGCGCAAGGAACACCTGCTCGTCATGTTGATTTACATGGTTTTCATGGATCATTTACGCCTGATTTCTATCCACGTAGATTTGCTCTTAAAGATTCGATTTATTCTCAACGACTCGATATTCTTGCTGCACTCATTGCTCATATCATTGATCGTTATCAAACATGCTTACCTCCGATTAGATATTGTGAGTTTTCGATTAGCATCAATGATCTCTCTCGGCCATGGGTGTTCGATGTACTTCGAAGTGTTCGAGTCTATGACGAGACGGCAAGATTACGGGGTCAAATGCATGAAAAAAATCGTACATATATACCAACAAATGAATTAAGTTCTTTTTCACAGTTAGTTCTCAATGATCATTTTGCTCATCTCGAATTTGCTTTCATCGGACCAGAATCTGACAATAGCGAAAATATTCGTCCTACAATATCTAAGATGACCTATAAGTTTCTGGCTGGTTTTGATCGTCAAAAAATCAAAACACCTCTATTTAAAAATACAAATGAAGCTCTTCGTTTCTTGCTTGAATATCCACAACAAGCAATTCTGCTAATGTTACGGGAAATCATAGATAGCAAGAAAGAATCGTCTAAGTCAACAAGAAACGCTTCAGAACAGCCAACAACAACTACAGACAAAGAAGGTATATTTAGTGATTTTTTGGAAAAACTTAAGAAGCTCGAGAATAATGCTATTGGGATGCCCGGTTTTTATGATTGGGTAGTCGGATTAGATCTGTTTGGTGACGAGTTAGGATATCCATATTGCCCATTTGTGGCACGTCCATTCATCAATTATATTCAAAAACGTCGAATAGAGGCGAAACAAACAGAAAGCAAGAATATTTTTGGTATACGTATTCATTGTGGTGAAAATGTCATATTTGCTGACGATAGTACACAAGCATATCGATTATTTGTTGCTCATATGTATATTGCCTTTCGTTGCCTGCGATTTCTTCAGCACGAACTTAAATATGGAATTCGAATCGGTCATGGTATTGCTTTTGATCGTATTCTTGGTAATAGTATGAGCAAATCAGGCTATCGAAAATCATCCGTACTCTTAGCCGAACTTCGAGAACATGCTTATCATTTAATGAAGACAATCGCTTTTGAAGTAAATATTACTAGTAATGAATATTTATTAGGGCAAACATTACGTCAAGGAGATGATAGACAGCCACTTCGTCTTGATGGATTATTTGGGAGAACACCTATTATTCTTGCGACCGATGATGATGGAGTTTGGCCTATCGATCAATGTCCATTTACTCATCCTGGTCATCAATCTTTAACCGCTGAATATTGCCGAGCGATTTCATCTGATCTAATAAAAACAGTGGATCAACTCAAAGGCATTCTTCAAGATACGAAGAATTTCTGTTTTTGGAACATGGGTGGAATAATGTCGAAACCATCTACCGAAGATGCTCTTCCTCCTGATGATTCTTTGATCAATACTGTCATCATACATCCGGATATTATTAGACGTCTACTTAAGCTATATGGCGGTAAAACAATTGCGATAAATCCAGGTTTTGAAAGGTTCGCGTGCAATACACCGTACAATTATAGTGTTAAGTGGGCTAACGCATATGGTGCATTGCGTGTAGCATTTATTTGCATCTGTGCTAATCACGATAAAAGTGATCAAAATGCTGAAAAAAAAATTAAAATTCGTGAAGAGTATCATACTTTATTCGGACAAAATGGCAACGAATTTAATGTCATTTATGATTTCTGGAGGCAAGTTCGTTATGCATTTATATTTTTCAATGATGATATGAAACTTTCTGCAACATATAGCAATGGCCATCATGTTTTACTTGGAGAAAAAGGCGACAAACGTCATCTAGTTTATGCTACTCCACAAAACAATGATTTATCACAGTCACAAGATAAATCTCTGATTGGATTTATTTCTCAGTATCGTCTGTTACCATGCACGATTCATGCCTACGGAAATCAAATTAACATTGAAAACACCATGGAAGTTTTAGAAAAAGTAGTCAATGATCCAGATGGCGAAAAATCATATAAACACATGACTGTATACATCTATACGAATACAAATAAATACAGGCATGTACCTGTGGCATTAAGTAAAAACTTTGATTTAAAGATAAATCCTCATTGCTCGAAACGTAATACAGAGATGAGAAGCTTTTTATATGCATTGTGTCCAAATGCCAGCGCCGCTACAGCTGCTCTTCATTTAATTTCCCAAATAATTTCATCCAATTCATCTAGTGAAAATACTTTTTTGACGTTCGGAGTCACAACTCCTGCAAATTTCGAAACTCAACAAGCATCAGGATACATTCCTGGACAATCATTATCTGATGGTTCAACGCCTCATCAAATAAACATTGATTTTGATACAAAGCCGATGAATCCTAATGCAGAGAACAACTGAAGATCATCTTATTAATGGCATATATTTATATATTAGCACAGCGTTCATGATAAAATTTTTAATGACTTATTACTTTTTGTAGTTTCCCATTTAGAAATGCTTCTTTACTTATTTCTTCAAAAATATACGAAACACTCAATATCTTGATGAACTGGATGATTCTTGAGAAAAAAGTACTCAGTCAAACAAGAACAACACAGCAATGACTTACTCCAAGTTTTTGCTCTAGATTCATCACAAATACGTTTTAGATCTTAGTAGAAGATTCGGTATTTTCTCATAATAAAAACGATAGGATTTCATTAAGTGAAGGATGAATTCAGCTAGTAATGATATGAAACGTTTTTCTCCTTAAAATTTTTAAGGACATGATTACCTTTTGTTTTTCTTTATCCTTTCAGTTAGTAATTCCTGTTTTCGCTTCATTAGTTCTATCGTTTTTCTAACTTGAGAAATTAAATAAGGTACGAAAAACAATTCTATGAACTAGCTTGAAATAGAATGACAAAATATAAAGTCTTGCTGTCAAACAATTTTTAACTGCTGAGCTGGCAGTTTTCTCATTAAGAGTTCTCTGAATTAAAACCATTAGATAAGCAAAAACCCTGCTTTGGAATATTAAATGGCATTGAAATAGTAGAAAAAATGCATTTGAACACATTCGATCGGTTTGTCTGCACATATCGGTTTACACCATTAGTTGCATGATTTGAACAAAAGGTCATATCAAAAATTTTCTTAATTTAAAACATGGCAAAAAGTTTCCAAGACTTAATGCGAACGAGAATAAAATTGTGATAAAAATAGTTTGAATTCAAAGAATATAGCACAAAATTTTGAATGAAAGTCGAATTAAAATGCGAATTGTTCTGTATTGTCCAAGCAGGTTTTGGCCGGTTCTATCTTAATAATGAGCTCTATTATCCGTTTGTTGGCAAATAACATTTGTACATGTATTTTCTTTCACAAATATAGGCGGCAACACGGTTTTAATATAGAGTGGGCTCAATTTTTCAGCCAAGCTACGTTAGGGAGCGAATTGAAGAGTAGTATTCATTATTTGTTTATAATAGTAAGCGCTATATTTTTTCTTGTTAGGTTTTTATTCTAAATAGGCTGATAACTATCAAATGTTTTATTGTTTTCAACAGGCCTACTAAATCGCTTGCTTTGACTAGAAGACTCCTGCTTTTTCGACTTTTCTTCTAATAAAAAGTTTCCAGACTTCTGGAATTGATTTTTAGGAGTGTCTCATGAATTTTCCTGGTTTTCAGTTTTTGGAAAGTTCGATTTTAGCGACAGTGTAAATCGACAAGAAAAAGCATGGAAGAAAAAAATAACTCGCAATTAGAGGCAATACTCTTTTAGTTCATCTTCTTAATAGTGAAAATGCATTTAATTCATAAAAATGAGCCCTGGTATATTTTCTGTGCCTGTTTCTAATATGTATTCCAAATCAAGGTTAAATCGTACAAGATCTTTATAAAATGACAAAAGAAGTGTAACCAGACATCACTGTATTGGTACTGAAACAAAAGTTTGAATAATCAGTTATTGAAGTGTTAAAACATTTCACAATCAGTTCCTATATGATCAAAACTTGTCAAAGAGCATTATTCTCGTCCCCAAAATATTACCACGAAGTCGGCATCGTGAGGATGAAGTTCTGTGTAATTTACTTTTCATTTCCGATATGTGTTTCTTTTGGTTTTTGTGATATCCTTATGGATGCTTATGCTTGCTTTTTTTTCATCAGTAAATGAACATACATGAGAATACTAGTACAACATTATACATTTGATTATAGAGACGTCTAATAATCTCAAAACAAAATTCTAAAAACGTCAGAAAATAAAAAGTTTAGAATGTAAAAAGTGCCAAAAAGTTTCCGAAAGAGTAAATCTTGAGCGCACTTCGATGATTGCTTTAATATAGTAGATAAAGCATCAGAAAACATGATATTATTCAAGTTCATTCGATTTTGTTATAGTGTTGGTGTGTTTCTATCACTAGCGATCAAGAAATCAACATTTTTCTAGCAAAAGACATTCTGAATTGGAAGTAAGAGATGCTCAAAAAAAACCATGAAATAGCTCAATTCTGTATTTTTTCTGTGTCCTTCTGATCCGGCGCTTTTCTAACTTTTCTGATGACTGAAACTATGGATCCAGTATTGTATTCAGATTCAAATAGATTGATCTACAGGTACAGATTCGAGCTTTTCTAGCATACACCCGATTGCGTCACTCATTTCTTTATTTCACGTGTGGCATAATTATTCTCGTTACTTACTTGAGGAAGACAAGCTACAAAAGTTTTCAATAATCAGAGATAACTGTCTAATATTTTCTTTTGTAGACTAGTTTTGAAAAATCTTCATATTTTTCACCGAATTTTATGGAAAAATCTTCTAGTCGAATTCTGATTTTTGACAGAAGTACTCCTGATTTCTAAAATTCGGATTTGGTATTACTGGATACCAACGAAATCCAATCAATAGCTAATTGAACAAGAGTTAATAATAGAGAAAATATGAACCGATCTAATAACAATGCGTCATCTGTCAGAAGAACATGAAAACTGAACAATAATAGAAAATTTTTACATTGGATCGAGTCTATCCACATCTAATGACTCCGTCGATTTTGGGCGAAGACATCCAACAATTCCAATTCAAGTTATTTCCAAGTATGAACTTGATTTGAATTGTTAGGTTGAAAATTACAATTGATCACTATCGGTTGGATCGAAATAGAATTGGATTAGAATACAGATAGTTGTATTTCACTTTTTTTTGCAACGATAATGGTTCATGAATACCAGCTATAATGTATTTTTCACAACAAGTATCGATATCGGAACTTTTCCTCGCTGGTCCTTACTGCCGAATCACTGAATTGGTGTATCGATTGGGAGCAATATTCAGCTCATGTTTAAATATCAAAGAAAAACTAAAACTCTCTCTTAGTTATCAATCCGCAGATGATGCCGTTTTCAATTGACTTTTCTTCACCGACAACATTTGCATATACAGAAACACACAAAATATAAAAATCAATACACTTATAACAAAGGTTACCTGAAGCACTAGTAACGAGTCATCTTTTCGTGGCTGTTAATTACTATTGACTGCTTCTTATGGAAATAAAAAAATCCATACTTAGATGTCAATTGTCTTGTTTTAGTTATCCAGCACGGTCGATATTAAAAGTTAAAGCCAATGATAATTCAAATATCTATTTCTTGAAACTACAAAAAATTTATATTTACATGTATTACGCTTGAGGGTAGTCATCCATGTACACGTTTTACATTGCATCGAAGACAAGGACTTTGGATACCAAACTACAATCACTTGAACCCTTGAATTTCAGAGAATACTATATATTTCGAGTGTCCTTAAAAAATCTTGATCTTTTACAAATGATAACAGACCGTTTGATTTCATCTAACGAGAAACAAGCATATTGGCATACAAAAGTCGATATCTTTCGTTTGACAACCATCGAAATTAAGTCGTTTTACAAATTGCATCGTGACTTGTTTTTCAGATTTATCAATATCGAAAGTTTAACGTTTCGATGATCAATCTTTCAAGAGTAACAAGAATTTGATTTTGTATGCTGATTACGAAATGTGAGAGTTACATTTCTTCTGCTTATGTCGAATTGAAAACATGTAGAAGGTTCAACTTGTGCTCATATGTTTAGTCTTTCGTTGACATCTGAGATCGTGCGTAGAAACTCCACCGAAGATCAATCTTCACTCAAATTGAGTTATGTCCCTATAAAGAAGCAAGAATGATGCAGGATCAAAATAAAATCATCTGCACGCCCATTCACTTAGAAAAGCACCGATATGCATTGTTTTCATAATATCATTAAATTCTACAAGACTCTTTTTTTACTAATAACGTTATTCGCAAGAGTAATTGTATCTCTTGCGCGATAAACAGAATATGCATATACTTGCCGTCAAAAGAAATATCTTCTTTGCACGCAACTGAGCAAGATCAAAGGAAAAAGGAAAAAAACTTAGAATGTTCATGAAAGTATAGCAACCATAAATCAAAAACAATAATACTTTTTTACATCAGATTTTATGGTCCCTCAGAAGCAAAGTTGATCGTGCAAAATAAAAAGAAATTAAGCAAGAGTAAATCGAACGATAAAAATAAGATAGTATAGGATATAAGAAAATTATAGATTCCCTTCTACTGTATGCAAAAAAAATTAATATTGTATGTTAGAAAGAGATTTAATCGTTTAATCCATATGTTCGTTAAATAAATTTATTTAACGAACATATGGATTAAACGATTAGGTCTCTTTCTAAAACACAATACTTAGGCATGGATGACGATGATACGAATAATGATATAAACTATGATAACAAACGTTTTAGCGTTGATTGTCATAGAATGATCAAAATTTGCTCATCGATTCTGATTCCCGTCATGCTCGGTTTATTGACTTTAACGGTATCGATTGTTCAACTTTATATTGCCAGTGCAGAAAAAGTAAAAGATGTTTCTATATCCAAAGAAAATCGAGATAAATATCGTTTCATTGCTAATCAAACACGTGAACAAGATCTGATTATTGCTAATAGACTTCGTTGGAATACTATCTTGGCTACTTATATCAAAGAAATATCTGAAATCTTGACATCATTGAATTTTTCCTCCAGAAAAGTCGATCCACTTGTTGCAACTATTGTCCGAGCAAAAACATTGACTGCTTGTCCTCAATTAGACACTGAGAGTAAAGCATGGTTTATTCAATTTCTTTACGAATTCGGTGCTATTCTTGTCGGATAAAATTCTATTGATATGACAAATTCATATTTAGATGATATCGATTTGAGTACTTCAGTTTTCAATAGTATTCAACAGACAAGTTTCTGGAATTTCAGTTAGTGGTGCATCATTGATTAACGCTTCATTTAATGCAAGATACCCTAATGGAGCAAATTTTAGTGGATATACTATAATGGGAGTGTTTTTTAGACGTGCTCGCTTGACGACGTTACATTTAAAAAAGCAGCACTACGGAATGATGATTTTACTCGTGCATCAACGAGTCGTGTGAACCTTGTCTGGAGTGATTTACGTCGATCAAATCTTGACGATAATTAACTTCATCCTGGTAATAGCTTCTATTTGACTATTTTGCCAAATGGCACATTCGGTCGTCATCCGAATCTTCTTACTAACAACAATGCTGAAGAAGAACGATCCTGTTCGTCGACGCGTCTAACTCGCTTACCTAATAATCGTTGGATAGGGATGCTATCTCGACGACAAAATAGCATTGGTCTTATGACTATGAATGCCTCACTTATCCAACAGCAGATTGAGGATGGATGAATAGAAAAGATTGCACATTCTTTCATTAATTTCATTAATGAAGATATGAATTCGTATGCCGTATGCTGACATTGCTTGGAACGTTGATCACTGCTCATATGTTACAACAGCAGTGCCTGTTTCACTCATTCAAAATTTCAATATACCGAAGTATTATCAGCATGCAGAGCGTCCATATTATTCTTGGCATATGACTATTTTCTGTGACATATTATCCAATGTTGATATCAAGATTTCCTTTGTATTGAAAGAAAGAAATGGCCAAAATATGACCATACAAACGCATGAGTTAGGTAAATTGAGCAAATATCAATAGGAAAATAAATGATGACTCATTCAGTATGGTTCTATATTCCACTTTTCGAATTTGTTGGGCAGCTCTTCAAAGCTTTGATGGGCATGTGCAAAACTTTGAGTTCGGTCGATTCATGCGATCGGAAGCAAGTCTTAATCCTGCCATCGAAGCCACGATTTCATGGTACGATACGAACATTATTATTTTCTTCTGCTACATTCTGATATATTTCCGTGAAAAAGAGAATGGGAATGAAAACTATTATAAAAGAGAGATGAAAGCTATCATTCTTCAAGCATATTTTCAAGGAAGTCTACACTGTTAAGAAACTGCAAAATGCATATCTGGATGCAGAACGCATATCGACAGCAACAAATTACTTGGAAGATTGAGAAAGAACATGAATCGAAGTTTCAACAGACAATTTGTATAGATTGTACTTCATTTTGTGGGACTCACTTTAACATAATACTTTGGATTAATCAAAAATTTTAAGAGAAAGTAAAGAAGATAAAAAATACAGATATGCTTTTGTTTTTATTTTATTAAATGTTCAAAATGATCACCTTTATTATTTATACAAAGTTCTATTTTTTCTAACAATTTGTAGAAAGTTTTCTTGAATCCTTGCCCATATCTTGATTACTAACCAGTGTTAACGCTGGTTCACTCATTTGAGTATTTAAATTGTGCTGGATCTAGTCATTAAACCAAAAGTCACATGGTGCAACATCCGACGAATACAATGGATGTGGAGTTATATTAATATCTTCTTGTGTTAAATAATTAATAACATCCGGATAAATACAAGAGCGAGTAGTATCATGAAGAAATATTATTCTTTCAGTATCTGATGATTGACTTTCTTTTCACATTTCATTAATAAAAAGTTTGAGACAATTTCTTCAATGTCACAGTTCTGATCGATAGTCTTACCCTTCTCTCCTCTATTCATTTGTAAGCACTGAAACTGGACGACCATATCGAGAATCATTATTAACATGTACTCTTTCTTCGCAAAAACGTTTTACATATCAGACGACTATTGAATATGATGGAGTGTCCGATTCCAATGCTTCTGTTAGTTCTTCACAGACTCTTTTTCCATCTAATCCTAAAATAGTCTGAATTTTAATAGAGAATCGATTGAATTCATTATTCATGCTAAACAATTTTGTTAAAGTTCGAATTATATTTTATCTGAGAAACATTAAAATTAAACCCAAATTACAGATGTCATATATTGAGAACGAGTAGAAAGTTAATAATTGATAAAAAAATCATATTTTCCTTTTGAATATTTATTATATTGAAGTAAGTGTATGAGCTTGTAATGATCTATTTGGTATTATCATTAGATATATTTGAGTGCGCGATATACAATTTAAAGTGACTCATCAAACGTGTGTAACATCTATTCGAACAGATGTTACACATGCTTGATGAGTCATTTTAAGTTGAAAGAGTACACATTTTTTTCAACAAAATAAATTCGGTGTTAACTGTTTCATAAAATTGTACATTATTCTTAGAACTTTTGGTTCAAACTCTATGCAGCGACTGTAAGATGATATGTGAGAATGTTCTGCTTCTTTTTACAGATACCTTCTCCTTATAGAAAGCCCTCATGACAGGAATCGTTCCTTCTTTTGAAAAGAATTATTGTCCTAAATGAATAATTATGAACATAAGTAAACAAGTCGTTCACAAATCTAAACGCAACGTGAAAATGCAAAATTTGCCGTTAGGTATTTCGTTTGTATCGAGTTTATACATAAGTTTCACATTTTAGCTCCCTCGGAAACTGCACTGACAAGCATTTTATTAGATATAAGAGATCTTTTATAATGCATGATGAGAAAGAGTAAAAATACTAAATAGTCTTTATCTATTTTCTGTTTTAGAGATGTATTCGAATTCAACATTCTTATTTGCCGATAGACCATACCATAAGACTGCTACAGAAGCATCATTCACAATCAAATTTCTTTCCGGTACAAAGAACAGCACTAAGGCTATGAATGGTGACGTTTCTATCGCTTTTTGTGACAACATGTATATCTCACTTGAACTTACATCTGCCGTATCTGTCATTAATTTAGGCTTTTAAACCTCAATTATTAACGATTTCATGTGCCACTTTTGAGTCTTATCGTTTTTCCAAAGACTTCCGAATCATTATTTAGTATGGATATGTCAATAATAATGTATTAACCCAGCTACTGGGATGAAAATATCTGTCATATAGTTAGAAATTCAGAAACTATTCCAGAAGTTTCTCATAGATCGTAAAGGCATATTGTTCTTGAGGGTATGGATGATGATGCGAGTATAACAAGCATATGCTTGGATGATGATGGCTGTCATACAGCAATATCTATAAAAGGTATTCATCATTAGCTTAACATAGGAGTCAATTACAATGATATGTAATCTTCTAATTGTTCTTCTGTGTTAATAATTTGTTGTATCCTGCTAGATTAAATGTTTTGGGCAAAACACGTTTTATTTTATAGTAAAACCTCTCTAATGTGAACACCATCGGGGCCGACAAAAATCGTTCAGTATAACAGGAATACCATGCTAAAGAAGATCAAGCAATGCTCAAACAAAGCATCAATTCAGTTATCTTTCATCTTGCACATTCGTCTTTTATTTCAATTGGCGTCATAACCATAAATATATTTATCTCCTTTTATAAAGAATTCATTATTTGAGTTGATCTATTTAAATATTATACAGAAACAGATCAGGTGCCGAAAATGTAAAATTGAAGCAGAATTTATTTTTTAATATATCGTTAGATAGAGTGTGACGAGTTGTAATGAATATATATCTTTTTATCTATTTGGAATAATTTTTTAGGGGAGAAGTTTCACTTTTTTCCGATGACCTACTTTTTCTGAAAAGTAAGTCAATTTTTTTGTTTCCTTCAAATTTGAAAACTGAATCTAGAAAAGTCATTTATAATGTTTCTCATATATAACATAAATGACTCTTCTGAATTCAGTTTTTCACGTTAAATCTGAAATTAAAAGTTTTGAAATTTGAAGGAAATAACATTCTGCTTTAAGAGCATTCTCTCTTTCCTGACCTCTAAAATTTCACTTTTTTTGATTTCGATTTTTTTTGTATCTAAAAAGACATTCAATAGTTTTTCTATCGAATGGCATATGAACGAAAAGTTTTCAAGTTTATTTGAATCCTGAAATAATTCGACTCTCGATATCCCCTATACAAAAAAATCGCGTTCTACAGATCTGTTTTGTTCTAAATGATCTATACTAATATTGTTATTCCATCATCAAAATGTGTTATGGGAGTCAGTGAGGCATCCTCCTTCTGACTGCTCTACAAATGCATTTATTGATAGCCATGTATAAAAAATGAAATACATGAAATATCGAAAAAATGTCGTTTTACGTCATTTCGTGTTTTTCTCAAAAATCAACTTTTAGAGAAAAATTAAAATTTTCCTGCTTTTTCTTCCAGACGCTTCGATCGATTGAGTTAAAACTTTTTGTGTGGTAGCTAGGACCAAATAGGTGTGATATATTTATTTTCTTAAAATAATGTTCTGGTGGTTTTTTGACAGATCTTACGACATTTGCCCTAGGGGAAAAAAACACTTTTTTCATAAGAGCTTCCAGTATTTCAGTTCTTCTTAGCAATGGAAACAATATTTTTCAAAGAAAAACATATCTATACAGCTCAAATTTGATCCTAGTTGATGTAAAAAAAATTCAGTCACAAAAAATGAATTTTGATTGTTTGCGAGGAGAAAAATTCAGGTAATTTTTGGTACCTGTGTCCCCTATATCTTATAGAAGGAAGCATTTGGTATTTCTGAATCTATGAGAACTCTACTCTACTAGTCGAGATCTATCTACTCTAAAAATTGTATAATTTTTATTCGAGTCATTCTCAAGACATTCGAGAAAGGGGGAGCATACCCTTAATGTTACATTTCCGGTCCCTTACAACAATTTATTTATACAATTCAAATAGATAGGCAAATCTTTGTAAAACAGTATCGATAAATTATTAACGAAAAAATTGTTTAGTGTGAATTTTTACTCTTTCTTTTTATACTCACGGTAAATATTACAATTAACGATAAAATAAAAAGTGCACATAGGTGAACCGTTTTTGTCTA